TGCCGGGCCCGAGCGCTGCTCTCCCCGGGCCGCTCCCAGTGCTCCAATGCTCCGGCCCGGCCGCGGCTCGGGGGCCGGTCCCGCTCCGCAGGAGCACCCTGAACACCGGGAGCAGGTTGGGGCGTTGCGGGCCAGCGGTGTCCCGAGCGGCGCGGTCCCGGTCCCGGGACGGTCCACAGGAGGCCGTGGCCGACGGTTCCTGCCCTCGGTGATGCGGGCGCGGGCCGAGCGAGGCCGGAGTTTCGCTTCCCCGAGTGGGGCAGGCGGAAGGTGGCCCGTTCCTTAGGGAATGCTCTCAGGAGCCGCGCGGCAGCAGCTCCTCTCAGACCGGCCCTGCCCTGCCCCGAGGAGGGGGTTACTCACAGGAAGCCACGATAGGCGTAATCACAGGATTATTCTGAAACCATTGATTACTTGGTAAAAGTAAGACACTAACCTCTGAACTCTCTCCTGCCAGCAGAACACACCGTGCGGTACTATTTCTACTTTGCCAGTATAGAATTCAGTGTGATCTCAATGCCATTGGTTCCTCCTGATATAATAATTTGTCAAAGTCTTTTTTGTTGTGATTACTGGATTTTTCTCTCTCACAAATGCCTGAGAAATTTGAACAACTTTGAGATAATACTTATCAGCAGGTTGGTAACCGAGGAAGTTGTTATGCAGACGAAGTTGATGGTCCAAGAAGGTGTTGTGTTAGGGCTTTGCACTGCAAAAATCCGAGTGCTCTGATAAACCTGTATATCCTGCTGGGTTGTTAAAAGAAGTAAGCCTTCAACCTGTATTTCATTCTCGGTGTTGCTGACCGGTAGCTGTCTTAGACTCTGATGTGCAGGGAGCCCTCTAAACCACCTGTGGTGTTGGAGGGCAGTTTGGGATTTCTAGTGAAGAGGACTGCATGGGAATTGTTTAATTTAAGGATTAAGTTTTGTCAGATTTCATCAAGAGACTAAGGGAAGGGCAACAACAGATTTGTTTGCAATTTGTAAGCAGTTTTTTACTGCTTACAAATTACCAAAAGGTTTTTGGTTGGTTGATTTTTTATATACCAAGCAGAGAGGTGGGTTATTACCTTCTTTTTCTCTTGTCCCCAGCCTAATCTTGAAGATTTGGAGTGTGAAGCACACTTGCACATTTGCACTGGCTTTATGAAGTGATGATTCAAATACCTCTTCAAAGTTGACATATAAAGCAGAAGGGACATGAGAGAAATGAAATTGGAAAGCTGAAGTTGTGGTTACATCTACAGTACTTAGTATTTTGAAGAGGCTTTTTTGTAGTCCAAATGTCATCTTGATGTTTATTAGGAAATTTTGTATGAAGGAATTCATACATGGTTTTTAGTTTTTTACCATTCACTGTAGTACTTTGTACATGTTATTTGTGCTACAGATTTGAAACTTTAAAAAAAGAAAAGGGATTTCACAAAGTGCTATGAGGACCTGAGACCTGTTCAAATTTGTCTACAGGAAAAGAAAAAAAAAGTGAAAGTGCAGAAAAAGCACAAGTGATCATGTTTAAATTGAAATGGTTGTTCAAAACCACTTGGTGGTAAGAAATGAATATGCAACATAATTTAAAAATAAGTAAATATCAAGACTAGAAGTGTTCATGCTGGAAGTTATGATAATTTTGAAATCTATGAAAGGTGTTCAGCTTGTCAGTGAAGCAGAGCTGAGCAGCAGAAGTAGCTGCGTGTTTAACCCTACCTGGCAAATGAGCACCACACAGCAGCTCACTCACTGCACCCCTGAAGAATCTGGAAGGGTGTGAGAAAACTCATGGGTTGAGACAAGAACTGTTTCATAACTGAAATAAAATAACAAAATAGTAATAATTTAATAGTTGTAATGAAAAGGAAAGTAACAGAGGGAAATAGAATCCAGGAAGTGAAGCAAATGGGAGCAGTTGCTCACCACCAACCAACCAATGCCCAGCCAGTCCCTGAGCAGTATTTCTCTTCCAACAACCTTCTTCCTGGTTTTATTGCTGAGCATGATGCTTTTATGGTCTGGAATATCCCTTTGGTCAGCTGGGGTCACCTATTCTGGCAGTGTCCCCTCCTGGCTTCTTTGCACCCCCAGCCAAAACCAGAGCACCGAGTGGGGGCAGTATCGTGACTCAGCTCTGTCGTTTAGTCACAAGGAGAAAACTTCCCTTTTCTAAAGAAAACAGATCAGTGTTTATTAAAAGTATAACCGTGAAATACTTGTTACTATAAAAACTTGCTGAGTTTCAACATCTTTGACTGCTGTCTTGTTCCCTCTTCATTCTGCCAAAACTGCAGTTGTGAGTATGAGAAAGATGGGAAGGAGCAATGTTTGTCCCAGGCTTACCACAATTACTGCTCCAGCACCTGCAGCTACATGTGTTCTGCACCAGCTCCTGTGTTTGTCCTGGCCACGGGGCTGCCATAAAACCCACACTTGACTGACTACACAATTCCCTTTGTAATACACCTTTCCACATTTCTGCTAAATCTGCTGGGAAGACTGTGGGACTCCTGAAATATTTAAACATTGTTGTTTGCTGGTGTATCCCCATGCCTCCAGTGCTGCCAATTAGTCCTGTGTAACCTGGAAGAGTGAACAAAGTTGTGACAAGTTCTTTATAGAAATGTTTATAGACCTCACTTAAATCCTGATGAAAGCTGTGTTGTGTGAGGAAGATAATCAGCAGTATTCCAGGGACTTTTCCATGGCTCTGGGAGAGTGGAAAGGCTTCTGCCATTTTGTGTGCTTGGGTCTCACCCAAGCTTTGTGTGGATGGAGTGACACCAGCCCTAAACAGATACTTACACCTGAAATTCTTTCTCTTTGCATGTTGTCCTTTGTATCTGCAAATTGCATCAGTACAATTTCCCTTCTTTTATTCATAGTAGTGCTATGTGTAATTGTAGCTCCTATGTAGTTTTCATAGCACCATAGAATTAATATTCCAAATACAGTCTGCCTTTCCCAGGTAGTACTGAGTGAAAAGACTTGCATGTGTACAGAGGGATCATATGTATGACAACAGAGTGGAGTGTGGCTCTAGGAGAGCTGTCTGATGGTCATTAGGAGGAAGGGGAAAAAGGAGATGCTTGGTCAGCACTGGTGCCATGAGACCTTGTTCCATGGAGAAAATGGTGGGCAGACTATGGGAAGTGAGTAGGTGGGGAGGAGGAGAGGAAGTCTGCATGGAAACCACAGTCCTTTGTTGGCAGTGGTCAGCATTCCTATCCTCTTCACCAAAATAACAATTGGTGGAGGAAAAGTTGTACTACAACTTTTGTAGTTGTAGCTAAGAAGCAAAAATGGCAACCTTAGACATATTTGATAGTTGTAAAAGCTTTGAGTTCAGTTGGACGTGCTTGTTTGGGTTTCTTTTTCCTTCGATACAAATACTTCTTTCAAATTACAGCAGAGTTAAATAGTATTTTTTAAATATTTAAACTTCACCACAAACCAGGCTCATGTTGGTTAGCAACTACCATGTGGCCTATCATACTGTTCAGTTTTTCAGGTGAACAAGAGGGATTAGAAATAATGTTCTTGGAGAATTAGAGACTACCAGATAGTTTAGTATACTAATAAAGATGCCCTACCTCCCTGCTTTAGTATTTTTAATTTATAAAGGAAGAATTAGTGCTGAGACAAAGTGTAAAAAATTTCCCAGTGAAAAGGAAGTGGGAAGCTGGCAACAATAACAGTGAAATCAAGATTAATATTTAATACTAGCAGAAAAAAAATACCAGCCAATTAATTTTATGGTGGTAAAAGTCCCTTTTAATCTAGTTACCTTTTTGCTGTTGAGTTGAGCGTAATTATTTGTCAATTGTCCATAATAAACAGTGCCTTTTGTTATGATTTTCTGTCTTTTATGTTTTAGATATAATGGCTACACCAAGTGGCAACCCTGTCCCATCAGCACCGCCTTCTTATGAGGAAGCTGTAGGAATCAATATGAACTATCCTCACCCCTATCCCATCCCTGGCCCTGGACAGAAGCCAGATGGGAAGGGAATGAACCCTCCCCAACACATGGGACAGCCTCCACCAGCAAATAACCCCAGTAAGCCTCCAAAACTCTTCTGTACCTCATGTTAAGGTGGTGTCAAGTGGCTGTATAATAGGTGCTGTCAGAAGATAAAAATCCTGGTTCACAGGTCTTCATCACCTACCAAAAAATACTATTGAAGAGAATAAGGTGAATCAATTTATGTGAATCCCTCAGTGTGAACTGATATCGATAACATCATTTGGCTTTCTACAGTTTTTAGTGCAGCTTTATTTTTAAGGCAGTGTATTTCTGCATTGGGAAGTGCCATGGTGATTTCTCTCTGTTTTGTATTTCATTGAACCCTGAATATTTTAGTTGTACCTGGTTTAGAGAAGTTGATTGCTACTCTTTTTTTCCTGTTCCTCTTGGAGTAAACAGCCATTTCTCTGCTCAGTTACTGTTCAGACGGTGTATGTGCAGCAGCCAGTACTGTTTTATGACCGCCCAGTTCAGATGTGCTGCCCTTCCTGTAACCAGGTGATAGTGACACGTCTCTCGTATGACTCAGGAGCGTTGACCTGGCTGTCATGTGGTGGTCTCTGCCTGCTGGGGTAGGTCAACTCTAATTTGAACTTTTACCTTGACTTTTGTTAGCTCTAATGTGTAACTTTGCTTCTAAGCCTTCATGGTCCAATTAGCCTGCACATGTGTCCTACAGGACCTTAAAGCAGTTCTGGAACATTACAGTAATGGACTCCATAGCCATGTGTGTTCTTCCTAAAGCTTAAGGCACTAGTTTTACTCATGGCTTTTGGACAAAATACATTTTACCTTCTTGCATGTGTAAAAAGTGGTAAAGCAGTGTTTTTCTCTTTTTTTGCCTTTGCAGGTGTATATTAGGCTGCTGCTTAATTCCCTTCTGCATTGATGCCCTAAAGGATGTGGATCACACCTGTCCGAAATGCAGTGCTCTTGTCGGTTCTTACAAACGTTTATAGGCAGTGTTTAAACATTGATTGATGAAGTTGTTTAGCACCTCTACAAGCCCTCTCTGAAGCTTCATGGAGACTTCCTGTTTTTTCTGTGAATCCTGTCACTGGAAACCAATAAAAAGTAATGTTTATTGCTAGATGGTTTGAATACGCATTTACTTGAGAGGAATCTCACTTAGGTCTGTGAAAAGCATACCTAATCTGTATGGATCATTCAGTCCAGCACCAGTGGAGAGCAATGGAGTGTTTCTCTTTTTGCTTTATACAGAACAGGTTGGTGATGTTCTTCAGTTCATCTTGTCTCAGACATGTTGCACATTGTACTTGCATTGAGTCTGTGAAGTCTCAGCACAGAACAAGAGGAGGATGTGTATGGAGGACTATTTAAACTTGTGCTTCGGCAGCAGTGCTCTTTACAAACTTGCAGGGAGTTGCCTCAGAGACAGGTGCTTCTCTTTGAAAAAAGAAATCGTTTGTTGTCATCTTTTCATGAGCACTAGAATTCATTTTAAAACTTTTATAGTTGGAAGAGAACCAAACCTAGAGGCTTTTTACTTCATGGAGGTTGCTTTTCCAAATGGACCACTCAGGTTGTGCAAAAATAGTGATTGAATCTAGTATCTGAATTTTCTTGCCAGTTTCAAGTCTAGTCATATCCCTAATCTGAAGTAAAGATGTTCATATAGGAGATATTTGTTCAGTGGCTTTTGTTAGGCTGGAGGCTTTCCTACTGGTGGTTGAAAGTCTGTGTAGTGTTTTCTTCACCCCAGTGGAAATGTCCAGAGAGCTGTGGTTGGAACATTGGAAAACTTCCTTTATGTAAATCAGCTGATCGATCATAAACAAACCTCAGCCTTATCTTAAGGCTTGAATTCCACCTGAAACACATAAATAAAACACCTGGGCTTTTAGTTGTTGGTCTGCATGTTAATTATTGTTTCTTTATTAAGAAGGTAAAATGTTTGTCAAGGAGTTTCTCTGATTTTTCTAAACTAAATGACAGATAAGTTCTGCTTTTAGAAGCTTAAGCTGGATATGCTGATTTAAGATGATAATAACAAAAAATTAGGGAATGAGGCTCTGAAGGTTAAGGTAATTTCTGTGTCATAAGCAACTTGATCAAACAATATTTTGATGCATATCACAGAATCCAAATCACAAAATCAGCTGGGTTGGAAAAAGCCTTTGAGATCTTTATGTCTAATCTGTGTCCTAATGCCACCTTATCAACCACACTGTGGTACTGAATACCACACCCAATGTTTTCTTAATACTTCCAGGGACAGTGACCTCACCATCTTCTTAGGCAGTCTTTTCCAATGTCTGATCACCCTTTCTGTAAAAATCTTCTTCCTAATGTCCAGCCTAAATGATACCTGTCCAGAAAAGGCAGACAGGTGTTTAAACAAGGCTGTATTGGTAACACTGTATTAGTATCTGTAAATGTAAAAAGCTAAAATAAATACAAAAAAAAAAAAATACTCCATTTACTGTTCTTGCCAAATGTGCCTTCTGTAAATATTTGGTATAAGTTAGTTTTTCAGGAATCTTCCAACACTTTATGTTTGAAATCCAGTAATTTTGTTGATCATGTACAATTTCTAGGCCTTGTCTTAGCTATGTTTTCTAAACTGCTGCTGCTTTTGAGTCAGTCTGCAAGTGATTTAAGAGTTTCCTTGTGTATTTGGAAAAGGTTTCTGGTCTACTCATGCCGTAAGAATGTATGGATGCTGAATACGAGAAAGCAGGCAGGTAGCACAGTGTCTGTGTGGAATCAAGTCATGTAACTTTCTCAGACTGGCCTGAGAAAGTGTGGCCTGAGAAATACAAGGAGGAATCCAAACAGTCCTTAGGGAAGGAAGACAATCTTTGCAGGTGTTGTTTTTTGCCTTGTTGTTTACTTGCAAGAAATGGTCAAGGGGTGTTTTTTCTAACTGTCCAGTGATGGTGATGTGTTGGTTTAATGAGAGTTTTACCTTTTTGGACCTTCTTGGACCTGTCTATAAAAGAAGATAGGGAAGAATAAAACTTGCTCTCTTTTGCAACTAAGTCAGAGAGTCTGTGTCATTCTTTCACTGTTCCTAATACAGTGCAACAAGAATGTACATCAGCAGCTACTAACTGGCAAGAGAATGATGGAGATAAAAAGCTGGTAGTTTTGTAGTTTTCCATCTTGATGATGTGGTACCAACAAGTGCTTTTGTCTGCTGGTGCAACACCATAGTGCTCTCCATGTTCTTGAAGGGCTTGGATGATGCTGCATTGAATTCTCTGTTTTGGTGACATGAACAAGTCCTGTGCCTTACTGGGAAGCAGAATTCCCCACTGGGTGTCACAGAAAATGTGATTCTTGCCAGTTTATTGTTAGAGCAAGACAGAAAGAAGCAATGAAGTTCGCAGTATTTCCAAACTTGGGATTTGCTTGCATGGTGGGGAGGATTTTTAATTATTTTAGTACCCCATCAGTCTGGTCTGGATAATCCTGCCATATATTCATTTGGTAAGTCTTCCAATTGTTATTCCCTTAGTTCCCCTTTTCTCTCCTAAGTGATGGTTGGAAAATCTGAGGTGGTGGCACCAGAATGCAAAACACCAAAAGAAATGTTTTGATTTATGTGCACAGTCCATTGATTCTCTTTAAGTTCCTTGTATGGATCGAGAATAGGACACACAATGTTGGCAGCTCTTCCTTCAAATTCAGCATTCTGCAAAGTTTTCTGCTGTCCCTTCTATAGCTGTGTTTCCTTAAATGCAAAGCCTGTGTTTGTTCTCTTGTGTATGGAGTGATCTACAGACTGTGCCCAAGTAACCTGCTTTGTTAAACCTACCTTGGACAAACAAATGCAGGATATAACTTGCTTTGTGTGAAAGCACTTTGTGTTTGATTATGTTGAAATTACTGTTTGTTTTTAAAACTGACTCTATTTAAAATAAAAACCGTGTCTTTCCTATCTAGTGCTTGTAATTGGAAAATGATAATATTTGGAATATTTCCAAACACATGGATGGCTAAAATGTTAAGTGAAGAAAAGTAGTTACAGGGAGAAATTTTTCAGAGCTGGGCCAAGTCTCTGATAAATGGCATTGTCTGCCTTGCAGACCAACTGTCCCACACAGAGCCACACTGAAAATGTGTTGTTTTCCTGCAACTTGGGTACTAGAAATATTTTTTCAATTCGAACTGTTGGGTGAAACTTTCACTTGCAATGCAACTAAACATAGAGATATACGGCTCCATGTTTACATACCAGGAAAATATATCAAATATCACTGTACTCAGTAGGAAAGAATCACTGCTGATCATGTGAGAATACACTGCTTTCTTTCAATATCTAAATTTTTGGTTGGTTGGTTTATTTTGAGATGCAAAAAGTACAGGAAGGCAAGGTTAATACTGAAACAAGTTTGTTTCAATGCATTGATATTTATTATTTTTATTAAGCAACTTCAGGGTTATTTTGGTAGTGAGTGTTGTATGAATAGTTTTTCCTTGGTAAGGTAAACTACAGAAGGAGCAATGCAGACTTTATGGACTCAAGCCGTTTTCACATAAAGAAGAAGTACAGGCCATCTGAAATACTCCAGCCTTACATTACAGATTCAGGTAAAACCTTCCCTACACCCACTTTCATGAGCTTTCCAGGATGACTTTGCTTTCTGTTACACTTTGATGGTGTTATTTTCATTAGGCTTCTAATTTTAATAGACAGAACTTGCACAATGTTCAAATTCTGATGAGGCTTGAGGCAGAAGGAAATAAAATTTGTTTTGTCATGCAAAGAGGATCCAAAATAAAAGTTGTTAAAACAAGTAAAAGGCAGCTGATACCCCTGCAAGAGGGAGTTGTTAAGCAACTTCAGTGGTTTAAAGAAGCTGCTGTTTATTGGAGTGTTTGTGAAAGCACTTCCGGCAGTCTAACCAGGAGGATTTTTTTTTTAAAATGGTGTACTCAAACCTAGTTAATAATACATTTATAATATAATTCATAACTGAGCAGCAGGAGGCCAGTAATGGAGTACACAATGTCATCCTTGGCATAAAAACTAAGAAGTGCAAGTCCTGTGACAAAGGTGTAAAGTTTTTGTAGTTCAGGTGAATGCATTTTGTAGCAAATTAACTTTTGTGTTCCTATTTGCTTCATAAGATCTGGCAATATGATTTATGAAAATTATTTATTACAATTTATTTTCTTTAGGGTGACTTTTAATGTGTTTTGTGTGAGATGAATACTCTCATGTATGATATGCTGGGTGTGAATCCAGTATAAAAATAAATTTGCTAATGAGCATCTTAGGACTTTTTCAAACCAGGACACTAAAAGCTGCATGTGAAACCTACTTATTTCAAAGGAAGTACTTCTTATAACCATTAAAATTTATTTTTAATTTTTTGGTTTTTAATTTATTTATTTAAAGAAATTGAAAATTTAATGTCTGACCAGGTAGTTGTGTGGTCTGGAGGTGCTGAAAGTAGCTGTGCCCAAGTTGAGAGTAAACCAAGAGTGAGTAGGCGGCTTTCTGAAAGTCCTTTTGTGGTTGGCTTTTTTGCTTCACACTATAGCTTTGTCTTTGTAACAAAAAATTACCCCCAAAAAGCAGCTTCAGTGAGCTCCAGAGGACCATTGCATTAACAGGGTTATGACAGACACTGCTCTAGGACTTAAAGTCACAGTGTATCTGAATATGACAGCAATGGGTTCACAAAAGCATTAGGGGAGAAAAAAGGACAAACCCAAAGCAGTTACCATCTCTTGCTCCCCACAGCCTCTGAAGTACCATCTCCTGGTGCTACTCTGAGTGCTCTGTGTCTTTGTAACTAACACAAAACTAGTAGTACTCAGGCACATGCCTCGTAAAATGTTCTTATTGTTCACGAAGTAGCGCTTAAGATTTTTATTTTTACTCTAGGATAACAGAATCATAGAATCGCTAAGGCTGGAAAAGACCTCTGAGATCACTGTGTCCAACCACTAACCTCCAGCTCCACCTTTCAGCCATGTCCCTAAGCACCACAAGGACGTTTTTTCTGAATGCTTTCAGGGATGGTGATTGCAGCACTTCCCTGTCCCAATGCCAGACCACTCTTTCAGGCAGCTGAGAGGGAAGGTCCCTCCTGGGACTTATTTTCTCCAGGCTGAGGCCCCCCAGGTCCCTCAGCTGTTATTCATCAGTCTGATGAGGAGCTCCTCTGCACGTCTCGAAATGGACACCGGGCTGGAGCTGCGGCCCCATCACCCCGTTTCCCCGCAGCCATCGCTGACCCTTTCGCTCTGCCCGCCCTCGCCCCGGCTGTGCCGCGGGTTCCTCGGCTGCTCCTCGGCGCTCGGAGGCCGAGTTTGGGGACTGTCCGCCGGGGAGCGGCCGCTGCCACAGCCCTGGGGCGGACAGGTGGCCCCTCCATCGCTTAATTTCGGCTGGGAAAACGCCCTGGAAAGCGTTGGTGCCTCGCAGCGCTTTCNCCGGCGCTGTGAGGGGTGGGGGCTCCGGGACCTGCCCGGCGCTGTGAGTGGGGGGCTCCGGGGCCCGCTCGGCGCTGTGAGGGGGGGCTCCGGGGCCCGCCCGGCCCTGTGAGGGCTCTGCAGGCTCGATTCGGGTCTATAACCAGGCGCTGCTCCCGGACACGAGAGGACTGCGAGCACACAGGTGGGTGTGAGACCCTGGCCAAAGACACTTCCCTCCTGCCTTCGGCTCTTAGGGCTAAACGCCAGTGCTACGATAATATTAATTTTATATTATTTGTGGGGCCTATATAGAGCAGACTTTACCAGTTTGTAAAAGCTCAGGTTTTCTTGACAATAATAATGAACAGTTTTCAGGTGTCCACATATAGGCTTACCCTGTTGTGTGACAGATGGTACTTTTTATTAAATTCATTTTCCAAACTTGACTTCAGTATCCATTAAAATGGATTAATACTTTTCTGAGACTTATAGACAGCATGGGTCTCTTGTCATTAAACCAGTGTGTTTGCAGTATGTGTGCCAGATTTTCTTCCATCTTTTAAGATTGTCTAGGACAGCAACATGCTGGAAATTTCTCTTTAGGAGGTTCTTTTTCTGCCTGTTTTGGGGGTGATGGTTTGAATTTTTAGAAAAACCTCCCCTAGTGTGAGCTAGGAAAAAAATGCTTACAAGATGTTGGGTCTCGGGCTCCATCCTGCACTTGCCAACGATTACATGAGGGAAGTCACATGAGCAAAGTGCACAGGACACTTATGTGATATTTTATCTTAAAGGTTTGACTTCAGTGTGCATTTAAGACCTAGTTGCTATTCAGGCATTTAATTCCATATTTAGATGTTTCCATAAAAACTGGGAAATCAAATCTGTGCTCTGCTGAAAACAACTGTTTGAAATGTTTTTATCAAAAAAAGCTCTAGAGTTTTGTTTGTGAATTTCTTTGTTCTTGGGCCTATGAAATTGTCAAGATTCAAGCAAGCTCAGATTTACAAATTCTTGAGCATGCTCATAGCCCAACCATAAGATATTTTTCCTCTTTTTCTATTAGTATAGTTTCTTCCCTAAGAAATGGGAAGCTACAAAGCTTTTAGAAAGCCTAAGTTACACTCTGCACTTGAACCAGTGTCATGATAAAGCAGAAATTCTCTTTAGTTTCAGTGTTGTTGTTCCTACTGACTTTAATGCAAATTTTTTTGCTTTAAAGATTTTTTTTTTCAATAGCCATGTGAAATACATTGGAAAATCTTATTATATAAACAGTTTAAAGTCATATTGGTGTGGAAACTGGGCAGTAGTAGTGATTCAAGAAGAAAATTGTCACAATATAGAAATTTTCTGATAAATTCATCATGTTTTTATGCTCCTGCCCAGCTATTAACTTTCCTGCCTCTATCCATATTGCTGATAGTAGACCAAGAGCTAAATGTCTGCTTACTAGGAGTACACACTATGCCCAGATGAGCTGTACACTTAAAATTAGAACGAGTACCAGACTGAGTAGCTTAGCAGTGTTAAAATGGGAAACTCTGCAAGTAGTTTTCCACAATGAAATCTCTGAAGCAGTTTCAAAGTTAGAATATTCTGAAAAATCGCTGTGAAGGCTTTCTTAGTTACTGCTTTGGGTAGGTTCTAAGAAATTTGAGCTGCTGCATGAAATATTTGGAGTTTTTTTTAAATTCAGTTTCAAACCTAGACTGACTCGGAGTTTAGCATTTGGTTAGTCAGGGATTTTGATAGAGGGGCCCAGATTAGATCATGGAGTATTTTATTAACTCTTTAGACTGGAATTGCTCTCTCACCTTTTTTAGTCATTGATGTTTGCAAAGCACACTCAAGAAGTTGACATTTGTAAGCATTTAATGAGCAAATGTTGTGTGATGGAGGAAGTAAGTGCAGGAAAGAGGCCATAGCAGCACAAACCTAGCGGGGGAGAGTAGTACCAGTGACTTGGTCGCTACTACTCACTAGATAACCAGGGATTGTTATCTAAATTTCTACTTGTGACTCTTGTTTGAAGCAAACATTTGCTCAGTCTAGACCTAGAGCCCCCTAGAGGACTTGCAGCAGGAGGAAACAAATGTTTACCTGCCCACACAGCTTCCCTGGGAGGTGTTGGCACACAGGTGCAGCTGAGCTGTGGCCATCAGTTCTGTTACATGTGGAGACTGAACATGGGCTCAGAGTACGTGGGAAGTGAGGGAAGAGCTCCAGGCCTGGAAGAGGGGACTGCCTAGAAAGTCTGTATCTGATGTGTTGTACAAACCTGATTGGTACCAGTAGGATGGTGGTTCAGTGGTTTTCTGTGCTATTTACACACAATTTTACCCATTTGAGGTTTGGAACTTTGTTTAGTGGGATGAGTGCCTCTCATGAACTTGATTGCTCCCAGTGGAAACACCTTCGCTTTAGTCCCAAAGCTTTGGCTTTCATCCTATGTGCTTTTTGGTTGATTAATCATCAAGGAGGGATTGCTAGGATGACTTTTACTTTTGTTTATTTAGCTTATATTTACTGCATGGGATCGTTCTGGGCATTTGCTTTGTTATGATGCCATATACCTAATTTCTTTTCCTTCCAGTTTTGTGGGATTTCTAATAGATTAACTTCTCTTCCTCTTCTTATGCAAAAAGGCTGAAATGCTATTGGGGATGGGATCAGTGGTTATGTGTGTGTCTGTCTCTCCCCCATACTACAGCCTCCCCCTCCCCTCTGCAGGCTGCCCTGCCAGAGCCCCTCCTCTGGCTGGAAGAGGGGAGTTGAAATAGTGAGCTCCTGCTTTGTGAAGGAAATTTTCGTTCAGTGCCTTGCTCAGAGGTGCCTTTGAGAGCAGAACTGATGTGTTTTTGTTAACTTCAGGTCTGAGGAGGTGATTTTGATGGCCACAGGGTTGCTCACCATCATTTTACTCTGTGCTGTTGTGGCTGGAGCTTCAGGGAGTAAGTAGAAGAAATTTTTCTGCTAAGAAATGTTCTCACTGGCAAAACAGAGCATTATGTCACAGCTTGTAGGTTTGTAGTAGCTCTTGTAGCACTTTGTCTGGATTTTTACTGTAGTGTAGCACTTTGCTTTGCTGAGCTCTTTGAGTGGTACTGAGCAGGTGTGAAAGCACCCTCCCTGGAGAGGATGCATTAAATAGTGCATCTTCCTTCAGCATTCTGGAGAAAGCAACAGAAATAGTGAGATTGTGTCAGCCTGTATACTTTATAGAAAAACTGTCATGGATTTAGTTATTGTTTTGAGGACCATGCTAGGATTTCAGCGATTTCACTGAAATTCAGAAGCAGCAGGTCCGTGCTGAGCTGCACACAAATTTGCAGTGCTTTTCTGTTCTGTTACCTGTCGTTGCAGGATCCTCAGAGAGGTTAAGTTATGGAGCTTCCTGTTTTGCAGAATGTGCAGGTGAGTAAAACAAGATTTTATTCAGGCTTTTTGTATAATAAGGAAAGAGGAATTTGAAAACTTCCGCAGGGATATTGTGTTCTGAGAAGGATGATAGTTCTGTCTGAGTGATCAGCATTCAGGGAAATAGCAGAGAAGTTCCACTATGGTTTACCAGGCCCACACATGCCTGAAGTTTGCATTCTGTGAACTCTGAAAAGCTCCTAAGCATTAGAGCTGAGCAAAGGACTAAACCAGTGTGGGACTAAGCCCAGCCATGGGCATGAAGAACAGATCTATTTCATCTTACTGTTGTGAAGGTCCTGCTTTGCTGCTCTCTGAAAGGTGTTGAAAGAGCATTGTGCTGTAAATGCACTACATTCCTTTTCTGCCCTTGGAAATTAACTTCTTGCCTTGAAGAAAATTGTGAGGTTATGTGCCTGGGAGAGGGGAAGTCTTTTCCCCCTCCCTACAGGAGCTACAGCCAGCACGCAGGGTGCTTTCAGAAACCCAATTCTTTCAATTGAAAGTCTAAGTGGGAAGGGAGCAATCTGAATATCTTTGCTTTGCTGATTTCAGTGGCTGAAAGATTAAAATAACAAAAAAATAGAGGGGGAAGATTAATAGGTTAAAACACCACTCCCTTTTTTTTTTTTTTTTTTAATTTTTTTTTTTTTTTAAATTTCCTAGGACACAGTGCATCATACTTCCCCAAAAGAGCTAGATACAGCTACAGGTATTCAGCAGTCACCAACACATTCCTGCAGGGAAATATTTACAAAGGCAGTGGCATCTCTCTGGAGACCACAGTGATCATTGAAGTATTGGGGAATTGCCAGATGGTTTTGAAAGTAAGTATTGTCATAATAGTTTGGGTGATTGGGATGAGCTGATGTGGAATCTTATTTTTCTTTGGGATTATTGTTATGTTTCAAACATTTGTTTTTCTTGTAATTAAAAGCCAGTTCAATTCTGGATCTCATAATTAGAGTTGCGGTATTGCTTTGATGTACCACAACTTGAAATTAGGTATTTGCCAGTTTTAAAAGGAAGATTTGGAAAATAATTGTTTGCTTTTCTAAGTGGCACAACAGTTTTACTTTTTTGTTACATGAAGTGCAGAACTGGAGAAAGGAACTTGGTTTGCTTTAAAGCACTTCCATATCTCTAGCAGTAATTTAAAAATAGCTCATTTTTAAGAGAACTTGAGAAACTTGTATGATGTGCTGGATTGGTGCCATTCCTAGCCCAGTGTAAAATTCAATCTTGTAACACGCCATTCGTCACAACAGGAGATCTGTCTCAGTGACAAGAGCAACAGAACAGTTTCAAATTGCAGAGCTCCTCCTGGGATGAGCCCTGTGGTAGTCCAGGTGGAGAACTACAGTGCTTTAGGACTACAGGGGCAGCAGGAAAAATCAGCTTCAGCTGCCTGAAAGAGGTATATTCCTTCAGGTTAACAGAGGGGATAATTCATTGGTTTTGCTGGGGGGTTGACATGTGTGTACTAAATACACAGATACATGAGGTCAACAAAGAGCATAGTTATCCCTGTCCTAGCACTGAATAAAAATTAACTGGTTAGTGGCTTGACAGTGAAAGGGATATAACAGTGCTGCATAAAATGTGTTTAATAGTGAGTGAAACTTCTTCATAGAAGAACTTTCTGGAAACTGCCTCAGATATGCCACCTGAAGATGGGGCTAATACAGTTCTGTTGCCACACTGACCCTTTGTTCATGTGATGTTCTGTATGGATATCCTGATGTGATAAATCCACAAGTTCCTCTTGACAATGAAAGTTATTGCCTATAATCTTTGCTTCTAGGTTCAAGATGTACAGATTAAGAAAAGTTTTGCATCCAGAGAGGAGTCTCTGAAAGAAATGGACAGTCTAAGGTAGAAAACCTTCTAATCTGGTCGATCTTTTGGGGTTTTTTGAAACTACATGGCTTAGCAGCAGCTTGACTGGACATTGTTCCCTCTGCTTCATACTCTGTTTAGTTTCAGGGTTTCTTTTTATTTTTGTATTAAATGATGATCCAGATACAAGCACAATAAGCAAAAATGAGAGAATGAGAGCCATTTGGTTGAAACAAGTTTTCCTTCAATGTAACTTTCCTCCCTTTGTATGTAAAACCATTTGGACAATAGACAGTTCAAATTATTCTGAGTTCAAATCACCAGGCCTGTAGCAGCACGTGTAGATCCCAGCTCTCAGGGCTGCAGATGTTACTTCTATGGACTCTTGAGTTTTGCAGTAGATTTCAGAGGTTCTTGGTCTAGAAGATCCTCATAAGGCAAAATGTTGTGGTTTTTTTCTTCCAGGGTACTTATATTTCCTTTATTTGTCCAATGAGCTTTTCTTCCTTCTCTGTCTTTTGGGTTTAGTAGCTCATTCATAACATATGTCAGTGTTTCTCACTGACAAGCCAAGGTATAGTCTCCAGTATAGATGGCTATACAAAAAGATCTCCTCACACTGTGGAAGTCTGACATTTTCCCAGAGAGCTGATGCTTCTTCTGTCATCAAAAAAAAACCAGTTCTGTTGTCTGATTAAGCTCAGCCTTGTAATCTTCCTCTTTGTCCTGACACTTGAATTCTCAGCCTTTAAACAACACTGAGAGCTGAGGTAATTGATTCAATTCAAAGGGTCAAAAAGAGCAAGCTTGGAGTAAATGCATTGCTTTTTATATTCATCAGGAAGAACTTTGTGTTCTCTCTATGGGCAGCAGTATCAAGAGTTCAAATGAGTGTACAGGCACATCTTCTGTGAAGTTATTTACAAGATGTTCATAGCAGTAAGAGCAGTTGTGTATTGTTCTTTGCTGAGATGCCAAAAAAGAGAGGTAGCAAAGGGGAAAGAAAGCATTCAGTGAAGCTTGGCTATTCAAAATAATTATTCAGACAAGTGAGCCTTATTAGCATTTGCCTCAGCCTATTGTGAATATACAGTAGTCTAGCTTGTCCTCTGAACATGCATGTAATTTCTACAGATAGTAGCAAAAACAGGCTCAGTTGCCTAGGAGTTCAGAAACTGAAACCCTTATCCTATATGCCCAGTGTCTTCTGGAAGGACTTTATCCAGATGTTGGTGTATTAAAGTTTTATCTCTTACTTTGTGACCTGATTGATTAGATGAATAGTTAGTACCCCATCTAATGTGCAGATGAGCTGTCTAGCTCCCTGTATGGGAGCTGGTCACTGGACTACTATGGAATACTTCCTTTGGATAGTTTGTTTTTCCCCATTTAGAGGGAAAATATATGATTAAAGTAGGTTATATTAGGAGTGAAAATCAATGTTAAAAAGTGATTCCTTGGAAAGGTAGAAAACACTGTACTCTCAATCTGGGATAGCAAAAGCCATTAGGAAGTGTACTAACAGCAGAGATTGGGGAATAAGTTTGGGATAGAGCCCAAGTATGCGCACCTAGCAGAGCAGGAAGATATGGGTTAATTGGGAAGCAATTGTTCTTGTGTGCATCACAGCTGAGGAGGCATGGTCCAGTTTCTTTGCAATTCAGACATGCCTACTAAAGCTACATGAAGCTAAACACACCCTGAATCATAAAATGGAACTTCTCTCTTAATTAAACAAGAATCATTGCCATAAGTACATTTACTTGTAAATAATTTGCCAGGACCACTTTTATTGTTACAGTTACGTTGAGGATGCTGTGATTATCTTGAGAAGATTTGTTTTTAGGGATTTTTTTAAGGCCTCCTTGGGTTAGGCTGAATTTATGAAGAATAGAGGCTTGCTGTAAAGAATGGAAATACAGAGCGAGAGAGATCCATTGTGGAAGAACAGCTCTGTTGAGGAAAATCTGCATTTAATGTCATAAATTGACTTGCACTCTTTGAAGCAAGAAATAATAAACTCTTTTATCACAGGGAAATACTAGAACAGCATCCTCTTCATTTTTCTTTCCATGATGGGAAAGTTCTGAAGCTCTGTCCTGTGAGGAGTGAACAGACCTGGGCACTGAACATCAAGCGAGGCATTCTTAGTGTCCTGCAGACAGCTCAAGAATTCCCTGTTGGTGCCATTGTTGAGGAGGTGAGTCTGTCAGTCATGCTCTGAGGTGACTCTTAGTTCTTGTACGTTTTAATTCTACTCCACTTCTAAATAAATAAAGGGTTTTGCCACTTGGTTCAGCAGACAGTGGCAGTCATCAGATTGGTTCTTGTAGTGAGTGTTCTAAAATTACCTATAATTCACATTCTTGTTGAGGCTTGGAATCCACTACTTGGTTGTCCGAGTTCTAGTGCCAGGGCTTTACCTGTTCTATGGAGAAAACACAGTACACATAATTCATGACTATTTTTTTTTACTTTTTTTTCAATAATTTTGGGAGATCAGTGTTCTCAGAGCTCTTTGAAGTTATTTCAATGCTTAAGCTCAGTTTCTACTGTGTAACACTGAAACAATAGTCCAGCATTCCCTGCTGTCACCTGAGTGTGTGCATGGGGGCAGCTGACACACCTCAGGGGCTGCAGTTCTCTTATGAAGAGATGTCTCTAGACTGACCTTCAGCATGAGGAACACTGCCTTATTCTCAGGCTACTGCTGTGTGTCAGTGTTTAAAGAGATGTTCTGCAGTAGGGCTTGGCACACACATACGTAACCGAAGTTACTCTGCCTAGTAATGCTCTTCTAAATTAATGCTTCCCTGCATGCCCACAAAATCTGAAATGAACAAGCACATGTCTGTAAATTATCTGATTCAGAATAACACAATGAAATTAAACAAAGCAACAGAGCCTGGCTACTATTAACTTGACCAACATCTTTAAAATTATTTGCCTTTTCATGGCTTTTGTGGCAAAGCCAGTGTTCTACTAGGGAGAATTTAGATCTCTGTTGTTATTACAAAAAAAGTAATTATTAAAACTAATTGCAATAACCTATGCTATCTCCTTGTATTTTATGTGTGCATGTGTGATTCAATTGTGTATGCTTGTTACTAGGTGGATGTCCTGGGAATATGCCCAACCAGGTATCAGCAAAAGGGTCCCATTCTTGTAAAGACAAAGGACTTAAACCTCTGCTCCCATCGCTCTTCTGGTTTGACTTCTGTGCAGTCTGTTGTTCTTCCTCATGCATCAGTAAGTTTTGGGGAATGACACTGGCTCTTGCTTTTGACTTATTTGAAGAGAGTGTCTGCCCAAACTTGAGTTCTTAGCAAAGAAATGGTGCATATTATTCTCCTTGTAATGTCTGTTACTCACAGAATTTGTTTTAACGCAAGTTTGCATTGTAATTGATGAATATTATAGTATAAATGCAAGAGGTTGTTAGGCACCTGGATTAAACTCTCATTAAAATATGTTATAGAGGTAAACTGAAAATAGACTGTTGAAGGGAGGAATAGAGAGATGTGAGTAAGAAAAAAATATATTAGAAAAATGAAGTTATTCTTTGTAGAAAACTTGGAAAGATAGAAGTTTTCTAAATTTTCTAAATGCCAGACTTGCAGGTTTCCACTGTTGACAGAAAATACAGTCAATTCTTGTGTCTTGTGCTATTTTTATTAGGTGAATATTACCTTTTCTTGTTGTAGCTATTCAAAATTTACCAGCCTTTTGCTTTTTTCTACTTTTCTGACCAAAAATATCTGATTAACTTTGAGGCTTTGTGAACAGAAATGAATTTGATGCTAATAGCAGCTGTTTTTCAGTGATAAAAAACTAGGCTAAAATAAGGAGTACATTAATCTCCACAGGCTGGGCACTGTCAGAGGTGTAGACAAGAGACTTCCCACTATCCCAGAACTGGAATCCTCTGTGAAGTTGGGAGAGGAAGGATTTGGTTGGCTGACACAGATCATCAAGGATCTTCCTAAAGTATCTGTTCTTCTCAGTCTGAACAGCAGATCCTGTCCTCCCAGCTGGAATGTGCCCAGAGCATTAAGGATGGGGTCCTGGAAGAGGCCAAATGCACTGAGTCCGATCGTGTGATGCTGTTCCCTCAGCAGGGCAGTGGGGCAGAGACACAGACACAGTCTGCACTCAAACTCTTCCAAGTGGAAACAGAGACACTCTACCATAAAGGTAACTATGTTTCTGCTAAAGTCAAGTATTTCCTAGGAAAGTATTGTGACTTTGTCTTGCCTGTGAGAACTCTTTGCACCCATGATTTTCACATTTAAAGTGGATGTTTTTACAGGCTGGGCTGTCCCTTCTTTGAGGGCTTCTGCCTGCCATAACAAAACTCTGTGGGTCTCCAAAACTGGATAGGTTTCCAAAAGTGACGGTCTGTAATGGCCAGCTCCTCTTTATCTATTTTACATACCTAGTGCCCTTGTATGCAGAGCATCAGCATTCCCTGGTCTGTGGACAACTCCTAGTTTTTATCAAAATGAAACCTAAATAGTTCCATTAGGGCTTGCAATTTAGGACATGCCATGTCTGAGAACTGTTTTAATTTTAGCTCTTCTTTTCTCCTTTGTGTTTATCCTTAGGAAAATGATTTTACTGAAGTCAATAGGTGGGTTGCCTGAGGAATTATTTCAAAGTTGAACTCTAAATGTTGAGGAACATGTTATTTGTCTGTTTCTAAATAGTTGTTTGGTTCTTTTTTTAAAGGAACATCCAGATTTCCAGGACATTTTGTCTATAATTATACCAATGTAAGAAGATAGGATTCTTCCTCAGGAAGAGGTTCAGAGCCAAGCATTTTCTTTTTCTTGGCACCTAGATCTCCTGCTGGTTTTTTTGGTGGTTAAAGTGTGGGACTAGTGATTAGACAACATTGGAAAAAGTGGTGAATGTAAAGTAGCAGGGCCATACTAAGAGATGTATGGATGGAAAATAGGGCTTTTTTCATGTGTCTCTTTGTCTTGTTTCTGACTCCTTCTTTTAGGTCATACTTGTCTTTATTCTGTTGTGTTATTAAATTCAAACTCACTGCAGGCATTCGTATTCGTATTCATCCCTTGGCTGTACTGAACCTAGAGAGACTCTTACAGGGAGAAATAAAGGCTCAGAGAGAAGCTTGCCCCTTGCATATAGGTTAATCATAGTAAATTGCCAGCAATCACCAGAGATGTGATTTTTCCTTTATGTTCCTTTTCCAGGGTACTCTGAGGATCTGTATGTGACCAGCATTCTCTATGAAAGGGAGGTAACTAAGAGGGAGGTCACTGGGGCAGAAGTGACTGAACTGGTGTGGAAGCTTTGCTTAGCGCACAGTGCAAGTTACCAGGTAAGCTGTACACACAGACTCTGCTTCCTTGGGAGGCTCTTTGTGGGCTGAGAATTCTCCTACACAGATAAGAGGTGACCAGGAGTGCAGAAATTTTGAAATACTGAAGTCTTCCATTGCTTCGGAAATTTTAAAATATGGATTTAGAGAAAGAGAAAATGCTTTGAAATGTCATTTTCTTATATAAACAGTAAATTACACTGAGGAGTTAAAACATATATTGGGCAAAAGCAATTCTGAGCTATGTTCTAAATTAATTGGAAAGAAAAGGTCCCAAATTTTTGTTTTTCTGTGAAAAAACAAAAGCATAAGAAGTATCTGGTTTGGGTTGTCACTGGCAGTTTTGATACTTAGTATTGTAAAACACATCTTTTACAGCTTTTGTGTGTAGCACTACTCTTGATGCTGTTTATTGGAATTCTGTGGCCTTTATATTGCCTCATCCCCTCAAAACAGTTTGCACATGAAGCCCTTGCCTCTGGGTCTTGGCTGGTAGGTTCCTTGTGCTTCTGATGAACTGCTATCAATCATCATGTTTTCTGGGGATGCTGGCTTGGGTCCAGAGGGAATCTCTGCCCCCTAGACCATTTTCAGTGATGAATGCTGCTCAGATAGGGTGGAGTCTTCTGGTCATGTGGAACAGGAAGTGACTTAAATATTTTTTATGATTACCATCATTCTAGATGAGGGTCTGCCTGTCTCCTTAGCTCTCTTGGGTCTTGTATTTTTTGTTGATACTAGCAGCAGCTGAATCAGTCATTAATTGTCACTGTGTTTGAAATGAAGATCCTTATCTCTGAAATTCAGAGGTTATCAAGAATGCCTGCTAGGTTATAAAGAGCACCTGTTATGTACAATACAGAAGGATCAACAGATGATGGTGCTTAATCACTCTTCACCTGAGCTCAACCAAGGGCAAATAGAGCACACTTCATATCCCATTATCCTTCAAATAGAGTGGTTCTTGCTAGTAGTGAAGTTCCTACAGAGAAAAGCAAGGAAAAAAAATGTAAATGTGAAAACAGAAGAAAACACTCTTTAAGTAATTTTTGGTCAGGATATTACTAGAAAACAAGTATGGTCTAATGGTCTAAACAGGGCATTGGTTCCTCCATGAATTTGCCACTGATGAGTTTAGTCAGCTCATTCCTGATATATTCTCTGTCCTCTGAGGTTCTTTTCTTGTTAGATGGTTCGCAATTTGGAGCAAGTTTATTTCCTGTACAGAGGGACTGACATCTCTCCTGTAAATGCACATAGGTACAAGTGATGTTAACAGAAAGCTTCAGAGCCAGCATGGAAGGCACTCGCCTTCCTTTCTTTAGATGAAGTCCCATGTCAAAAAACAGAAGCTCTGCCTGTATTTCCCCTGGGCTGGACACAGATACTGGAGGAGAGGCTTTATGGGGACTGGAGAAAAGTGCAGTGCTGGATTGCAGCTCTGCAGTGATATCTTGGGTGTGTTCACCTTTCTCTTAGTATCACCTATGATTCATGAGCACAGGTAGGTGTTCATGTTTTGTGTATGAGACTTCAGGAGAAGGCACAGGGTGGAGCAGGATAAGTCACAGCTGCTGAAGCACCTTCAGTCACCTGTGATAAATTCCAGCCCCAGACTTAACTCCCAACCTGTTGGAAGGTGATCATAGTCTGACCTGGTACCACAGCCTGACAAAAGCCTGGGCATGGGGCTGAGGAGGAAGCAGCAGATGGCCTTTGTAGGTGTTGCAAAATTTGGGATAGACTTCTATCTCTGAGTTAAAAGCAGGTCTGCCATCTCTTTTAGCTACATGCTATGGAGACTGGGGCTATGGAGGGCTAAGAGAGCCATATAATAATGGTTGGTGCTAATAAAGAATAAAAGCAGCCTCTTGGAGAAGGATAATGCTTAATTCCATATGGTTGTCAGTGTTACAGCAGCAGGAAATGGCATTTAAGCACAGACTAGAGGGTCACATACTGCCTGGAAAATGTTGAAGAAAGAAATTACTGCAGCAGATCTGAGAAACTTTCTCTAAATCCTACCTTCTATGGAACACTCTTAATTCAGTGTCTTTGAAAGAATGGTAAATGATTTTTCCCAGTAACAGTGGGATGTCACTTCTGCCTCCAGAGGCCTACTGACTTCATGTGTGGGAAATTTGTTTTTTAAATCACTACGATTAGCACAAGTGGCTACTGTCTGTGTGCCACTGCCTAGAAGAGAGGTGAATTATTCATCATGTGTCCGTCCCAGCATAGGATTTGATTGGTTGTCAACCATTTTCACTGCTTCAGGGTGTTCTTTCTGTGTGACAAGACATTTCAAAGAGAATCTTTATCATCCCTCATTTCAATCAATAAAATATCCTTTGGGCCAAGAAAGAAGTTATGGGAATGCCCCCAGCGTTGCTTGGGAGACAGCTGCACTGTTAAGCATGTTTGTCCCTTTATTGTTTGACTCTGAATGAGGTGAGATTATGCATTTCTTTCAGGACACAAAACCAAGAATAAATGGAAGGGAAAGTCTCCAACTCTGGGGAAAACAGTATAGGGATGAGAAAATGGAGGTGGAGATGGTGTCATTTCCAAGGAAGCAAAGTTGTTGTCTAATTTTTTAATGCTATTATGAGACAAGATTGAATTTCAATGTGGATGTAGATTAGCTAATGGACCATTAAGTGAACAAGCTGCCTACTGACAAAGAATGGAAAAAAAGGTGGGGAGAAGGGACCCGCTCCTGAGAGAGGCTGGAGAGAAGCCTGTCACACCACATCTGCTGAGGCTGCATTTCCAGGGACTGCCTGGGTTTTGGTGCTTGGTCAGTAGCTCTGGTGAATGTGGCTGTGGATGCACTGAGAAAGGTGGGCAAGGGTATGTCAGATTTGCTTTTCCTTGCTCCTGGACCCCAGTCTGACCCAAAAAAAGTTTACTTTCAGGGCATGATGTTTCATTATTGATTGGTTTTGGGTGTTTTTTGGTTTTTCCCTCATAAGGCATTGTAATTGCTTGCTTTTACCTAGTTTCTTTTTTTTTTTTTAATACGGCAGATCTGCAGGTAGAAGGAAAAGCAAGCTTCTATGTGGAATAAAAACCAGTCTTTCTCATGTTTCTTTCTGAGGTGGGAATGGGAGTCAGATTTAAACATAGTTTGTTATTAAGATACTACAAATAGAGGAATTTTCAATGACAGCTCAATTTCAGTGCAGCCAACCTTAAAAAATGAAAACAGCCCACCTGGTCAGACAGTTCATTCTAAAGCTTTATTATTAGAAAGAAAAATGGCTACTTCTCTGCAAAATTTTGCTTGGAGTTATTACTTGAGAGCTTTTCTAGTCAGCAGGTGTGAAGCAAAATTAAGTCAGTTTACAGTCTAAAACTGTATCAGCTGGAAGTCCATCAGTCTGGCAGTTTTATCTTGACCTGTGCTGCAGCTCCAGCTGATGGGCCACCTGGGCTCAGCAGCAGCTGCAAACACAGCTCTTTGTGATGAGATCTGTGAGGGTCCCCAGCCCCCAGTGGATTTGCCTGTGGAAAAATGCACATAAGTCCCATGCTTTAGAAATGCTTTTAAAAAGTTCTATAAAACACAGTTCTCTGAATATTTTATAGACATTTTATTATAAAATGTAATCTTCTTCAGTAGCTCCATAGTGTCCAGGCTTGTAATTTCTTTTTAAAATAGACCTTAGTGATAATGATGGGATGGAATGGAATAGAATAGGAGGGAATGCATGTATCTATCTGAATTTTAGGTATGGAATTATAAATGTTAACAGAATTAATACATAGGTGGGGCTTCACATATGAGAACAAATTTTAATTTGATTAAATTATATATTATTTTTAAGAAGAATATAAATCCCAAAAGAATAAAAACATGAACTGTATCTATATTGGATCTGCTGACTTACTCCCTCAGCCTATCAAACAAAACAGTAAGAAATTACTCAGACTTCTTACTGAGAGAGAGCTTCTTGTTACTGAAAATGGCTTGGCAGTCTTAAAATCTAGTGCTGGCACTGGCTTATTCCATGTTTTCATTGTTTTTGGGAGTAGCTCCTGGAAGGAAGGTCAGGAAGTCAAAGTAGGTCTGTCCCCAAATCTTTGGAAATGTGACTTAGTGGAATTAGACTTTGAATGATTTTTACATGAAGAAGAATGTTTTCTTTGGAACCAGAAATTTAGTCCTATGTCTAAGCCTTTCACATCTGAGATGAATAAAACATTGAAGTGAATCTGACATGGACCATGTTTAAAACTTACGTATTATAATATTACATATTATAAAGTTCAGTTAACATAAACATACAAGATACTGTATTGAACATTCTGCTAAATTTTTCAAGTAATGAGACCTATCTTCTTTCTTGAACTTTGGGTCAGGTCTCAGGGGAGTACATCCATGTGCTATTTAGCCTTTAAAATACAGGTAAAATAGCTGCTGATTGATGTAGCAATTCTTCTTAGTGAGAGAGAACAGCTCTTCTGCCTCTGTTTCCAGCTAGTCCTGTGTTGCCTGCAGAGGTAAGGGCAGTTCTGCCTGGGCTTTTCCCCAGGAAATAATTTTCTCACAGCCCAAGGGTTCTCAAGTGAAACTTCTATGTATTGCCCAAACCTCAGTTAAATGATCTTTCACATAAACCTAAGATTAATACGCAGTTAGCTTGACCATTGTTTCATTTCTGTCAAAGCTATGTCAGAAGTTCTGCTCATAAATCAGGATCTTGCTATACAAATTCAGAGAAGGTTATAACTTTCTCTTCTGGATTGTAACCCCACTGTTGCATTTTGGCTTATTATTCATTTGTATGCCAGTGGTGTGCATGGTGGTCGCTGAAAGCTGCTGTCTGAGGGACTGACTGGCATCCAAAGCAAAAGCCCTTCTCTGTATGTTTGCAGTCTGGAGAGGAAAGCAAATGAGGAAGGAATGTAAGGACACAGGGAAGAAAGGAAGGTTCACTCTCAGGTTGCTTTGTAAATCAGTGGCAATGCCAGCATAATCTCTCTGTTCTCTGAAGCTGGTTTCTGCACAGCAGGAATATTACAGTTGTGCTTGTGCACTTCCAGACTGCAGACCTTTTCATGACTCTCGTATTTGAGCTTCGACATCTTTCTCCTGAGGCCTTAAGAGCACTATGGCAAAGATCATCATTTAAGTGCAGAGACAACTGGTAAGTCTCCTTTAGTAATTGTATTCAAAAATACACAGAAAAGAAATGTTTTGTGAATATTTAAATGTTTTAAATCTGTGCCCAAATGTTGGAGTGAAATTTGGAGCATTTAAAAGGAATAATTTGTATTGCAGATCTTGTTTCTGTAATGGGATGATACTCTCTCCTCACTGAATGAATATTATGTACAAAATAAACAAGATATTCCCACATCCAGACTTCCTGTTTCCAAAGCAAAGTGAATGGGAAATCTGAGTCATGACTTGGATGGAAATCAGTTCTGCTGGTTTCAAGCTTTTGTTGCCATTTGTTGTGAAAAAGCTTACCTGTATCTGTACTTTCAGTGCCCTTAGTAGTTGTGGGGCAGAGGAGACAGATGTTAGGCTGGGAGTATGGATGTGGTGGAGCTGCATCTTCCAGTAGCAGCTGGATCCCAGGATGGTTTATACCAGTTGTACAACTGTGTCTTTAAAGATCAAGGCCCTACTCCTCTGCAGTCAGGAACAGTTCTGATCCAATGGTTTGAGTCTATAAGAAGTACTAATCCAGTATTATCAAAATCAGTGTATTTTTTCCCCTCACATAATTGAAAATAATGAAACAATTTTTCTACTTGGTTTCTGTACAAAATGTCATCAGTCTGTTTGAAATTAAGGGTTTATGTTTGTAAAAATACCTTTATTTGATGCAAAAGGGAATTTTGCATTTTGGGTTAAGTTTATTCTCATCTTTTGATAAATAGTTATGCTAATATTCTTCATTATTAGACAGTAATTAAACTATTCTGCCTTTTTTATATTACCTTTAGACTAATTTTACTCAGGACATGGTTATTAAATTTAGGAGTGAAAAAAAAAATCCCATGCAGACTGCTCTCTGATGCTTTTACCCCATCTACTTTAACTGCTTTCTAGTTAATGCAGAAGTGTCCTTCCATCAGTATAGGAGGCAGGATATTTACAGAGGGACTCTTAAGAGTTGAAATGTGTATTGTCTGTCATGCTGGTGTGGGCTTTCCCCTTAGATAAGGTCTAAAAATCACAGGAAGTAAAAGCTAGTCAATTCAGTTTTAATATTTTAATTTTTTACTGGTGTTACAGGTGACATGAAAGGAAAAAGACACCTTAAGAAAAAAATCAGTGCTTTAAGGTACCTCAGTCTTTAGAAGTCAAACCTGGGATGTGATGTGGCTTAATTCTCAGAGAAAGCAATTGAATATTTTCTTGAAAATCTGGTTAATGTTCTTGAAACACCAATGCACTTCCATCACATCCTGAAACATGAACGTGCAGAATCTGGCATTTGCTAAGCCACTGGACTTTTATTTACTTTGAAAGAAGCTGAGTCTCAATGTACTTGTTATGTGATTCTTGTGTACTTTGGTCATTTTAGATTTCCTGTACTTTTTTCTTGTGTTACAGGCAACCATTAATAGATGCTCTCCCATCTTGTGCCACAGAAGCATGTGTTGTCCTAATGAAAGACCTCATAGCTTCTGGAGAAGTTGAGGAAGACAAAGTAGAATATTTCTTTTGGTCATTTACATTCATTCCTAATCCCACCTCAGGAATGATTGAATCTCTTGCTGTGAGTGAATGTTATTTTTTCTGTTTTAATTTGTAATGAATCTAGGTGGCTCATCAATTTTGTTTTACACTAATAGTCTTTTTCAGATTTATACAAATCTCTGTCCAGGTAATTTTGTTGAGATTGTATTTTGGTATGTAAATATTTTGATACATTTATAATGGTATGTTACTGTATGTGGTATGTTAGTGTAGTCATTCTCATGACTTTACTGAAACACCTCATTCTCTCTGTGGTTGTTTACAGCCTTTGCTGAAGTCACCTAGAGCCAGCCAGAGCTGCTTCTTGGGAGTAACAGCTCTCGTACATAGGTTTTGTTCGGCTCATAGCTCCTGTGATATTGTACCTGCTGTGCAGAGTGTGATGAGGATTCTTGGGAAATTTTTGGGAGGAAACTGTACTGTGCAAGATTCAGAACATCTCAGCAAGGTATTGGTTATACAGAGGCACATGATACAGTGCTTTACTTTTCTGTTCCCTTAGTGAGCTGAGAACTTGTTAGATGAAAATGGTATTAATTGCATTTCCAGACAGCCATGAATACAAGCTTAGTAGATGAATATTCCTTGCTAGAATGAGCTGATAAAATTTTGTAATCTGACAAGTAGAACCTATCAGTATGGGTGTTCTTGTGCGTGGAAATAAAGAAAAGCCTTGGGTTTCCTGATGAAGCAAACTTCATACCATTGAGCAGTGGGAAAAACATCTATCTGTTGACAAACTATTATTTTAATTAAGTTATTGTGTCCAGAACTCTATGTTGAATCATTAAAATGTCAAAATATTTGTGATCAAATGGGACAAAATATTAAAGTACTTGAAAAACTTTCTGACCACCTAAAATTTGTGACTTTTGCTTTTCTGTTACAATGCAAGCTTTTAAGAATGTTTTTATATTCCCCCAGGTTTAAGGCAGGTTCTACTTACAAGTGCCAGTGGCATTAGAATAGAAGCATAGTCCATGTGTGTCTTGTCCTCCCAGTAAAGCCAGGGTATAGGTAGTACAATAGGGGCTGCAGTAAACTCCCCAGTCACCAGTAATCATTTTAAAGAGTTTTGCAGAGAAAATGTTAGTGCCATGAAATGCAATGTACTGCTGCCAGCACTTGGAGAGTGCTGTTCTGTTCTACCTAGAACAGTGCTTTCTGTTCTACCTAGCTTTACATTTACAGATGCAGCTGGTGTTGAAAGCCATTGGAAATGCAGGACTGGCAGCTGCTTCGCTGGCTCCTGCTCTGAGCTCCTGTGCTGCCCTGAAGAGCCATCCCATGGAAATCCGCCTCGCTGCTGTCCAGGCCTTCCGGCGCATTCCCTGCCCTGTCAGGGTGAGTGATTCACTGCCACAGGTGACTGATGGCTTCCTGGCACTGCCACAGATTTGGGACTTGTTGGAATAGTTACAAAAACATGCAGGCAGATAGGGAACAAGCGTAGACATGTTCCAGTAGTGCCCCTCTGCTGTTGGAGGAGAAGGTAGAACCACCCAGATGAGCAAACCTGTAATGAGCTTCACTGCAGTTGAGGTAACACATCCAGTGACTGAGGCAGTGTTTGGGACTTCTTAATTAGGCACATTGGTTGGGTGCCTTATGTCTGTGGGCGCTATGGCTGAGAACCCACAGGACTTGATTTTTCCTATAGTCTGTTTCACTGTTTCATTCTCTGAAACATAAAGTAAGAATAATAATGTAAGAAGCTTGTTGTGATTTGCAATACATTGCCATAGTTAGAACATTTTGTTAAGAATACATTTTGTTTCTTAAAAAAAGAAAGTTCAAAACCTGTTTATCTCTAATACCTTGATACTTAGAAGAATGGCAAAGCCAGGTGCACTGGTCTGGGCAAAGCTGACAGTCCTGCTCCAGAAGAACAAAAAGCTCCACATGGTCTTGCACCTTTCTATGTCTTTTTAAAATTTAATTTCTCATGGATTGGTGTGATTCACTTGTTCTGCAGTTGTGAAACTTGGTGTTGCTCGTTAGACATGTTCAAAGTATCAAGTCTATATATTGTCATATATCCCATTGTTGTCTCACAAATGAACTGCTGAACTGGATGGACTGGGGCTGTTGAATGCTAATAAAAATGTTATTTCTTAATTCCTGGCAGTTCACAAAGAAATTGTCTTGGTTGCTACTGGGGAAATACTGAACAGAATAAATTTGTTGCTGGCCTGCTCTTTGATTGAGACCAAAAGTAATGATCTTAACAGCCTGTGAACAAAACCATGGCCATCATTTGTGTATTGGTTGTGGCACATGAGAGATACAACAGACAGGTCTCCCCCGTGGTGACAGTGCCTTAACAGTTGTGCTGGCAAGGGAGGCTCTGTGTCCTGTATAGATTTGTCTGTATAGGATTCAAGGTCATAGTGACAGTTTGTTCAGGAAATTTGTGGATAAGGTAGTATAGACAATATGTACATACACTTGTATCCATATTACACGAAGTGTCTTTGTCAGGTATAAGGCAATAGCTACAAATATAGCAATAGCTCCTTGAGAACAAAAAACCCACAGGACCTGAACATGGGGTGTTCCAGGGAAGTGAATAGTAATTTTCTTTATCTTTTTGTCTTTTTCTTAGAATGCTATATTACTTCAGTTTTATCAAGCAACCAGTGAAGATGTGGAAATAAGAATTGCTGCTTATTATATAGTAATGAAATGTCCACATGAAGAGTTATTTAAACAAGTACAAAAGACTTTGCTGAAAGAAACATCCAGCCAAGGTCAGCCAAGCATCTTCTGAAGTCTTACATGTTCCTAATTCAATTCTTCTATGTGACATTTACTTTGCAGGTGTAATGGTACTAACCTATGTAAATTTTTATTTAATCTCAATGCTTTGTAGATTGTTTCTAAGTGATTGTTTGTATGATTGTGACATTTTATATTCTAGTTCTGATACTGTTAGTTTAGCAATAGTCAGTAAGAACTGACTTTTCATAGAATTAGTTCCTTCTACTGGCAGCATTTCATTCACTGCAGGCTCCTGAGAAAGCTGTATGGAAGAGCTTTGATGCTCACGGCATTACAAATACAAATGGATGACAAAAAATTGCATTTTGTTAAGCTGAGAAAGAAGCAAATGGCAGAAAAAATAGTTGCAGTATTCTAAAATGGTTTCACCACATTCAGTGAAGGATACCTCTGAACTAATCCCTTGCATTTACATCTGTCAAGAAGAAGCAAACATGAGAAGGGTATCTGTAAGACTGTTTGCAGGCAGATGAAAGCAGGCTCTGTCTGTACTGTGTCTGGATCCTGGCCAGCCCTGCCTTGGAGCTGGTTCCATTTTCCCAGGATGTTATGTCCGGACCAGTGTATCCTGCAGTGATTGTGAGTTCAGGCTCAGCATTGTGCTCACCTGCTGATGTGGCTTGTGGTTTGGAGGGTACTCGTTCCTCTCTGATCAGAGCTCAGACAGAGAGAAATTGCATCCACCTCCAAAATCCTGTTAAGGTGTACCCTCAGTGGCTGCTTCTGGTGACTCCATGCAGAAACTTTAATTTGTCCGATTCATGAAGGAGCTCTACAAGTCCATCCAAAATTTGTGTGTTTCAAACAATTTAATGCAGTACTCATGAAGAATCTTAATTTCTTTCCTTTGTCTTTTATTGATGTGACAGCTAAATAATTTATATAATAAACTTAGGAATAACAAGCACGTTTGAAGGCATAGGGCACATGTTAGTTTTTAGTTGCACATTCAGAAAACAAAATTTGAGAAAAAAGAAGTTGTGTTGTGAAAAAAGCAGTTACATCAGTATTCAGTGTCTGTGCATTGAACTAGCACAGGAGCCTAATATCTTTTATCTTCAGGAGACAAAAAAGCCTCTATTTAGGAACCAGACTCCAGAACATATGGGAAATATTTGCCCCCTGCGACACAGCACATACATGGCCAAATTGCAACTCCACAGTGTCATGTAGGAATGCTAGTTCTGAAACACAATTGTTTAGTTGTATGTGCCTTTTTGTTTTATTTAAAGTGATGTTGCAATAGGTGCATCAGACTGATTTTAATCATGCTGAAAATGAATGGATTCTGTTGTGGTCAGGGGAATGGCTTAGAATTAATGGTGGTATAAAAATAAAAATATTTCCTGTATCTGTTTTTAACAGATGTTTCTTGTAAATTTTATCTGATTTCCACATGCTTTTCTTTGTTGAATTTTAGTGGGCTCCTTTGTTTGGAGTCATCTCTCTCAGCTCTTGGAGACGGATGATCCGTTGAAGGAGCACCTTCGAGATTCTATTCCTGATGAAATTCTTAGCAAAGATTTTGACTGGGAGACATGGAAATACTCCTCATACTCTGATGTCACATTTCACTCAGGTATGTGGAGTTTTAGAACTTAATACTTCGTAGCATATGGCTTATTGACATCCCATATGGCTTTTCTGACCCTTACATATTGCTCCAGAGAACTTTGATTTTTATTATTTAATACTATCCAAATGTGTAAATGTAAGCTTGATTCTGCTTTGATTCTTAATTGGAGCATATAAAATGTATTTCCAGCAAACCAGATACCATGCACCTTTGCCTCTTGTGAGAGAGGAGACTAAGAACCAATGAACATTTAAGATTATTTTTGTGAACATCATCTTTTAATTCCTTCCTTAGTTAACTTCCTTTGCAGCAACAGGGGACTGGGATGTTTTTTTTTCTCCTGATTCATGTACTGTCCTTGGTATAAGAAAAGAGTCAAACTAGTTCTTTCCTGTTTTACTATTTGTTCATTTGTTTTCAGTGAAAATTCTAAGTGATGTTTTTCAGAGTTACATTTTGATTTTCGGTCCACTTCCTCCAGTGCATTCATGTATCTTACGTATTATAAATGCTTTCCTTTTGATTCTAGTGAGATAATACCCAGTAATATCCAGTAAATATGGAATTCCAGTAAATGGAAGTTACTTACAGTAATGTGTTTGCTGTATTGAGTAGTTAAATAGTTTCACCTATTGACAATGTTTCATTCACCATCTTCTTATTGAGTGGAGTAACAGTTTTCCAAAGAATTATGAATTTTGCAAAGAATATGAGAGCCGATCTCCAGCTGACAGACATCTATTTTCCATTGCAGCTGGTGCAGGTGCAAATATGGAAGCATCAGTGGTCTTTTCTCCTACATCTTTTCTACCACGATCAGTCATGACAAATTTGACTGTTCACTTTATGGGACAGGCTATAAATCTCCTGGAGGCAAGTTTATGGATTTTTTTAATTGTGGGGTTTTTTTATCCCACTTCTCAAGTGACACTTGGTATATTGAAGTACAAAGAATTTTCTGTTTTCCTGTTGCAGTTCCTTTAGCAAAATGTGCTTTTCACTTTTGTAGCACAGTTGCCTCAGACTGGTGAGTCCTCTGTGTAACGGGCTTAGTCAAAATAAAAGCACTGTCAGTCTGCTAGTGCCATGCACTAGGAAAGTGACTTAGCTCTTGTTGATTCAAATGAAACCTTAAAATCAGTGCTTCCTAAGACACTGCTCTAGCTCCTGTCTAGGATAGTAAGATCCATTTTCTTGATGTACAGTGGAAAATGGATTGGCTCGGGTGCACCATTCCTTTAATACAGAGATAGAATCATTTGTTCTTAGCTGAAATCACTGTTCTAGTGCCATTGGGCATCCAGTTCTGGGGACATTTCAATGACCTGCCTGTGACCTCATCATCTTTATCTGCTGTGCCAGGTAACAATGTGCACATGAAAGAAAAAAAGTATTTAATGTAGCCCTCAGATCACAAGTTTAAGCTTGCAAGGAAACAGAATTTTTTTTTTCAGTGCCACATACCCTGGATTTATGTGTGTTAGTGATTCTGTTTTAAGCAAACTTCCAAACAGAATCTTATTTCAGAGTATGAAAAGGGTGTGTGAGTGTTTTCCAGCCAAAATACTGTTTATAATATATGTATTATATTATATATATATAATATATATTATATTTATATAATTATATTATATATATGTACTGTTTATATATATGTATACATGCCAGAATAACAGTATCCCCTTCTGGCCCATCATGGTGTAAGTGAACTGCAGTACCTGAATGAAAAAGAATTTTTGTTTTGGACTGGACTTTACATATCTAATTTTTATGGGAAGATTTAATACTGAAATATCCAGTATTGAATACTGAAGGAAGTAGAATGCTTAACTTTGTAGACTACTGTAGTCTTGCTTGGCAAACCTTTTATGTTGGTTACATCTGGCTGTATATTTGATATTCTGCTTTAGAACTGGCCATGGCCTATACATGTCATTGTCAGGCTTTTCACTGCTGCATGTTTTTCACTAGGTTGGTGTACGATTGGAGAATGCTGAAACTCTTATAGAGAGGGGTTTTGGGCCGAAATCTTCTACTTTCAGTGACTATTTTTTTGGAAACACTAACGAAGGAAACCACAAGGCAGAAACCCCAGTGGAAACAGTAGAGAAAGTCAAGCAGAGGAACCCAACATTGAAGCGATACAGCCCCACTGATCATCTTGTGAGCAAGTCTGGCAAGCCAAAGCTGAGAAAAACTAACCAAATTTGTCTTGGTAGAAAATACAGTAAGATGAATGAGTTAGTCAAAAAGGTAACTGAATCTGTAGATCTTACAAAAATCTATGACATTTCCCAGTCAAATATAGGGCCCCATCTCACATTGGACAGGTGCTCTGGATTACTGTGACTTCTTTGCATAAAGCATGTGTAACTTGTTCTACTCAGCTGCAGAAAATACAGAGCAGCAAAGAGCCAGATCTTTAGTTTTTTTCAGATTGTTTTATTGTCTCAAAACAGTGACATTCAGCCATGGGATTATGTTGCCTGTATTTTGGGCTTCCTTTCATTATTTTGAGCTCTGGTCCCTTTTATGCTGATGTCCTTTTGTCCACTGACTGCTGTGCCAGTGTAAACAGCTGCTTGATGTTGAGTTCCTGAGTCCTGTTGTTTGCAGTCTGACTTCCCAGTTTGATGTCAGATGTTACATTGGTCTTTGTGAATTTACTCTTTTTTGGAGAGAGCTATGTTTTATGTACACAACAGGAAAGCTCTAAGAATTGACTTCAACTGTGGTTTAGCTGTATTAGCTGGAAAACTCAGGGACTGTGATTCACTTAGTTTGTATTAGATCATCTCTTTCCTTGGACTCATCTTCTAGGGTTTCTTCTTAGAGAATAAGCTTATGATTATGTTGTGTTGCTGTGGTATCATAGAACTGTAAGGAGAGAAAATTTAAATTTTTTACTTCCTAGCAGTTTATTTAGCAATCAAGGAATCCCTAATGTTGTTTTGAGATTGTATTTTTCAAAGCTTCATCTGTTTGTGGGTATGCATTGCAGTACTTCTTCTTTGCCTATCATCTTAGGACTGGATATGACCAGTGTTCATAGTGACAGCCAGCTTGTGTGCTATGAAGCTCAAGTGTAGCTGGAAAGAACAGCTACTAAGTCTTAAGTGGTCTCAAAGTACTTGTAAAAGGGAGCCTATAGCATAGCCTGCATTGAGGAATTGTTTCTTGGGAGTTTGAAAGGAAGTTATAACTCCATTGCCTTTGATTTCTTTTTTTATCACGTCAGTTCACTGAGAGAACAGTAAGAAAGAAGGCGCTGAAATGTGAGCTAAGCATGAAAATCTTTGGAAATGAACTTAGCTTCTTAGATTGTGAAGATTTAAGAAAACATATGAAACGTTATTCCTTAAATCTGGCTGAGTTGGCTGTCAAACTTCTGAAGGTAAAAGGAACCTTTTTTTTGTATTTGAAAGTAAACATCTTGAGAAACTGCTTTCTGACAGATAAATAAAAGATACAAAATATTATTTCTTGTTTCTCTAAACTGAACTCTTAAAGACACCAGTGTATATTTGGTTCAAACAGCATTTGGTACATAAGGCAGACTTGTTCTGCTGTCTAATGGTTCTTACCTCTTGCTTCTCTCATTCAAATCCATCCATGCCTAAATGTAAGTTCTTTTTTTAACTGGAGTAGGAATGGTGTCTGACTCATGCCATGGCCATAGGCAGGCTTTGGGCTGCTTCCTTTATGTCCCAGATCAACTCAGGTAAAAACACTTTTACAATATACAGATGCAGTCAAAAATTATATCTGGAAAAATTCTTGAATGCTAACTGTATTATGCAAAATAAAATTCTGGGTTTTGCTTGTGTTTTACTCATCCCAGGGGCAGGAGATTCAGTTTAATAAAAGGATGAGTTTGGCCACTGAAGAACTGCAGTTTCCAGCAATTTCAGGCTTTCCTATTCAACTGGCAATCAATGCCTCAGCAGCAATCAACATAAAAATCAAAGGGAATGCAGATTTCAAACAGCAGTCCAATTTCTTTCTAAATGGATATTTCAAGCCAAGGTATTAACTGCTGCAAATGTGTCCCTTTCACATGTCCCTGATGTAAAGTAGCAATTCTTGATGTGAAAGTTTTGTGTGAATGCCTATTAATTAATTAGGAGATTGCTGAAGAACAAAAACAGTCATCAGCCTTCTGTTGCTGAATGGTTGCCATGGTGTAGGGGCAGCAGTGTTTTCCTGTCCTGCCTGTCTGATTTTGAACTCTTGCTGTGTTAATCCAGTACTGGTTTAAGCTGACTATTCCTCTCTACCTATAAATCAAACTCTGTAATTCTTGCATGCAGTTGATTTTTTTGAGTTCTTTACCTGTGACAAGTGGATTTTTCTCAGGATCAAACATGCTGTTACAGGTTATGGATGTACAAACCAATGGAGGATTTAACCCTGTGTTTCCTTACTTGGCTATTTTAGCTTTTGTACATACTGAATACATTACTAAACTTCACTTAGTGCTGTACAGACAGTAAGAAATTTGCCCTGTGATACTCAGTTCTAATTGTTTTCCCTTTCTTAATATTTCATGCTGAAATCTGCATTTAAATCTCCTCCTTAGGAGATACCATAAAATTATAATTCATGTTAGAAAGTGTGTGTTGGTGTACATGCAATCTTTTCAGTTATTTCCTGAAACAAAATAGTTCATGATTTTAACCATGGAATATACTGTGCTGCAGCATCAAATTCTGTGTATTTATTGTAGAGGTTTAAATTAAGTGCTTTAAAAAGAAACTGCATATAAGGATATGTACATGAATCTTTCAACAGTGCATTTGTCCAGCTTTCTGTCCAAATGGGAATTGTGGGGACTCTGGGACAAGCTGGCCTAAAGTGGTTAACAGGAATAAGAACATCTACTAGTCTTGATGGGGGAATCCAGGTGAAGAAAGGGAAAGAGCTCAAAGTTTTCTTGAACACTCCAGAAGAATCTATGGAGATAATTAATTTCAGGTAAGATTAAGGAAGGGCACCTTCAAAAACAGTAGTTGTTAACTTTCTTGAATATTACTGAGACTTTTGTTTAAATATTGCTGTAACTTTAGCATAATTGGTTTTAAGTTATTGTTCAAAATTCTTGGTTGCAGCTCTAAACTCTACTTCAAAATGGTGGATGAGACAGAAGATATAGATGTCTTCCAAGATCACACAGAAACCAGATCTTGCACTAGGGAGGAAGGTGAGTCCAGCTATTATGTTTGTCTTGGAAAGGAATTCTGAAATATCTGTAACAGATAATTTTATTCAGTAGAGTTTCTTTTTTCACATATTATTTCTAAAAGGTCTACAGCGCAAAGTTAATGTTTGTGTTTTCTTTGTTTGCTGTTCTAACTGAATGTTCAACTGTTGTCTTCCATCAGTGTCTGAGATTATTGGCTGGCAGCTGTGTTCTGAAATGTCCTATCCTGACCCGGCCAGTGGTTTGGTTTTCCCCCTCACTGGACCTTTGAGAGTGGCTGTGACATTAACTAAGCAAGACAGAGGCCTGCAGCAGTACGTGGTGGAAGCTGCCTATGACTGTATAGCTCAGGTACCACTGGCACACTGGACTCTGGCTTTAGTTTTCAGCTTGCCATTCTGGTGGCAGAGTGGTATATCTCAGTACTGTGTGTTCAACCCTCTGGATTCTAAGCTCTGTTATTAATTTCATTCCCAGTGTAGTGGGAAGATATGTTGAACACAAATTACTGATGCTGATAGAAGGTACATAGTCTTTTTATCTACAGAACAGTGCACATAAACAATGTGTTGTCTCTGTATTAGAGATTGTTCTGTAAATGGTGTGCCAGTGAATAATGTGGTCATCCTTTCTTTCTTTCTTTTAGGAGAATTCATGGATCCCAAGTGAAGCTGTCTTTCACTTCTTTGTTGGGACTCCAAAGTCAGACTTGAAAAGAGATATTGGTGTTGACATAAGTTTTAGTGTCCCACAGAAGAAATTCAGAATCCAATTTATACAACCTAAGAAAAAAATTGAGATGGATGGTAGGTTTTTCAACTAAGAGTCTGATCACCAGCTAATATCAGTTTGGAGAACTTCATTACAATTAACTGAGAAATATCAGTATATTTCACTCACTAATCTAATACTGAGACTGCATTAATATGTGATAACTGTTCATTTTACTGCTTTAGGTAGCACTCATTCCCAATGGAGTTTGCATCTTGGTTAACACTATATTTTTGCACAGTCAGAAGTTCAGTACCTGGTTCATAAAGTCGTATTAGAGAAGAAAACTGTTACTGGGATTGATGAAATGAGGGCTAAAGAACATGGTGGATTGTTCTGACATCTTTTACATATGTTGAACTTGCCGTATTGGTCCAATTTGCTGTGTTCTGTTAGTTATGAGATGAAGTTATGTGTTGCTAAATCAATGAAGTACTGACTATGATAGTGCCATGCATTGTAATAAAAAATAACAATCACAGTGTAACATAGAACACAGAATCTACAAACCCATTGAGGAACTAAAAACTGACAAATTAATGGTAATAGTATAGACAACATATTTCAGCTTCTTTGGCATGCTGGTCAAGTGATGTTTTATGTTGATGTATTCTACCATATCATATATTTAGATTTTTCCACTCCTTTTTTTTTTAGTTCTTTTTTTTTCTCTTTTTTTTGATCCTGGTTATTTCCAAATGGATTGCAAGGGGGCTTTACCACTGTGCAAGGCTTTGTGTGCACAGCAGTCTGAGCTCCTGAAATGTCTCCACAGCACAACACAACCTACAAGTTTTAGCACAGGCCTAAAGAAAGTGCATAAATCAGTTCCAGAACTAAGCTGTGTTTGTTGGAGACAAACACATTGCCTCTTCTCAGTTTTTCTCCTCAGAATATCCTTCCAAAATTACTAGTTTATTCTGAAGACACTTTGCAAAATGCCTTTGCAAATTCTGATCCTTTTTTCCTTTGAGCTGTTATTTATTATGTTTTTAATCACTCTATATCTATTGTTCATAACAAGAACATCTATCATTTCAAATACAGTCTGATGAAGTATCACTGAACATTAAAGAAAAAGTAAAGAGTTTTCTTTTTCTCCAAGGGAGGATTGAGTTTTCTAAAAGTTCCCAAGTTGGACACCTGGAGCTGATAGTGGATGACCAAGATGTGTATTACATTAAGGTATGTTTGCTTGTCATGAGCTGTCATGATAGGATGAATACTTACATAAAAGCACAGAAAAGAAAGGTAGTGAAAATACACATATTGAAAAACAGTTTTGTGAGCAATCCATCAGAGAAATTAGCAGTTGTCCTTATTGCATATTTTTGAGGTAGACTCAGTGCTAAATTTCAACCTAAATCTCAGTGAGACTGCCAATATTTTCAGTAACATCCTATTAATTTCTGGCCTGGTATTGCAACATTTGTAGTGATTTTAGTCCTAAAACCAGCAGAAGCTGAAGGAAGTAGCCTCTTGCACCACTGTGACCTCTGTGTAACTGGAAAAACAAATCCATCCTTCCTCCCCATTATTTATCAATGGCAAGTTTTAGGTTTTGTGGAGTGTGGAAGGCTTGTTGTTACAAGCCCAAGTCTACACTATTGCTTTCTTAAAACTTATGTTGTTGAGGGGCTTGGGGTTTGCTTTTTGATTTGTTTGTTTGTTCTAGGGAATGGCAGATTTGCAGATGCTGAGTGGAGAGCAGAGATACATGACCCAGCTGGAGGTAAAGCTGATAAAGCAAAGCAGTCCTATCATTTTGTCAGGAAACATCACTAAACAGCTTGGCAAGAAGATAGCTTTTTCAGTATCTCTGAATAATTTGTTGAAGGATGCTGCATTTCTTTCAGGTTAGAGGACAGTAAGTATTTGGCATATAAATGCAAGTTCTGGAGCTGTTATTTGTTAGGGTTGCTTGATTTTAGACATTTACTCCTAAAATTGCTTTCAAATCCATAAAGACTGCTTTTTAAAATTACTATCCTGCATTAATTAATACAAATATATATATATTTTAGAATAAAAGAAATTTTAAATAAAAGTCTGTTTTGAATTACTCTTGGAAAGGGTGGAGGAAATAAGATATAAGGAATTACTTAACAAAAACATGCCAAAATATAACAGCTGTTTTTCACTTTTGTTAGTACAAAACAATGCAGAAACGTATATTTGTAGCTAAATGTCTCTTAAGAGCTGCTGTTCTAAAAATCTTAAAGTCTTTTTTTCTCACAAATAAGCTAAGAGAAAAATGCAAGAGAAAGTGTCAGAAAGAGAGCCTTAATATTTGTATAACATCAATACATTAAAATTAAAATAATACAGTGAAATAAATTTATGTCTAAGGCTCTCATTTTGACTGAAATTTCATAGGGTTACACAGTACTTTGAAGCAGAACTAACTTTTAAGGAATGCAGAAGGCCAGTTTGTTTCTTGGGAAATGGTCTTTTGGTGAAGTTTTCATCCTTAGCATTCACATGGATTGCCAGTGACTGCATCCAAGCCAGTTTCTGGTGTGATTTTAAACTCCTAGCACCTGAGAACTTGGCTGCACCAGTTGTGCTGCTGCAAAGCCACAGCCTTGCTCTGATTTTATGTAGAGGTGGACATCCACATGTTCACATGTTAGGGCTTAATTAATTAAAAGATCTGTCTGAATTTATTTCCTTTGAAAAGCAGCTTTGACTGGATGCATTTCAATAAACTTGAAGTAGGTTGTGAGAAGCGTGGTCTGCAGGCTGCCTGTGGAGATGGAGAACGACCCTGAACACCCAGATCTGTATCTTTTTATCTGTTTACTACACAGGGAGTTCATCATGGTGGAGAGACTGAATGCCCTTTTGGTTTTTCCCACTGTAGTATTTCTTTAACTAGCTGAAGTAACTTCAAGTTCTACCACTGTATAATCATTTCAATTCTTTCTGTAGCACTTCTGGAGAAAAAGGTTGATGATAAGCTGAGACAATACTCATTGGAAGGGGAGACTCACCTTCCAGGTGTTCTTGGAGTTAAAGCTGTCGCTCTTCTCCAGCAGCGTGAGGGATTGTGGTCTCATGGTCTGCGGATAAAATATGGACTCCTAGGTACACTGAAAAAGAGGGAAAGTAAAAGTATTCTGTAATACTAATTTTTCCTACAAGATTTGCCTCTGTGTTTAGAACACAATACAAATATTTCAGCTAATTTTTAAACTGTGATCTGTAACTTGGAACAAGTTTCTCTTTTCAGTTGGATAAATTTTATTATTCGAGTCTGCATATAAAACCAATTCTTTTTAAATGGGCTTTTCACAAGCATATCCATAATTTGATTAAAAATCACTTTTTTAGTGAGAATTGCTCCAATTAATTTGTGTTTTCAGATGTTTGTATACATGCACTGAATAACATGAGGAGTGGTTTCTAGGAAGCAGCTGGCTGTGCTTGCCTGGCTGCAATATAGGAATTGTGTTAATTTTGTGGGACAAAGCAGGTGAACATCAGTACAGTTATATCAAAGTGCTGAATCCTTGTAGTAGCTAATCATGATAAATATTATAGGGGGATTGTTTATACTAACTCTGTTGCACCTTCAGAGAGTATGTAGCAATATGAATAATAAAGTTTTCTTGAACTTACACAGACATGACCTCATAATTTTGCTAACAATGGCATGCTGATCACAGTATTTTATAAATAACAATCAAAACATCCCTGAACACTTAAACAGTACCTTAGGATGCCTGGCTGTAGCTATGTAATTGTGAAGTTAGATACTTGGAGAATAGTTACATTTTAGTTTAAACCCAGTTTGACAACTATTCTACCTGAAGTGGTCAGCAAATACTTCCTTGGAGAAGAACTGGATTTTTCATTTTAAAAAGTAATCCTACTTATTAGGTGGAACTTCAGATTCATTATTTTAATTTCTTCTCAGTGTCCAGAAGGGCTGGAAGTTCATTATTTTTTTAAGATGAAATGTCATGCAATGTCATGATGTTGGGAGCTTGCTGGTAACAGAAAATCACTAAAAATTGTGTGATACCAAGAAAGCTGCAAAGCTTGATCACGATTAGTTTGTAGTACTTTTACTTCAGCCAGGTAAAATTCTGTTTAAGTAATGAAGTTTTTACTTTCATTTGGATTTGTAGGATAAATTAACAAGTATATAGCTATAAAAATAGACAAATTTCACTTTGATGTTCTGAAAAACAGAAGTCTTTGAAGTCAGTGCCAGATTTATACTACTAACATTTTGAAAGATTAATTCTGATTTACTTGAGTAGGTAATTCTGTGATTTAACTTGAGCAGGAGAGGCAAAAACGGCTTGCCATGAGTGCAGTACACAGCAGAAAGTTCAAGTGGAGCTGGGTGCACAGGGCTTGTACAGACTGGAGCTGGACCATCAGTTTCACTGCGTGCAGGCTCCCACCTACAGCCACCAGGTGGGTGCTGAGCCAGGCACTCTCTGTGCTTGGCACAAATGAGAAAGAATTCACAGTGAAAAGGCAATGCCCTCTTCTTTAGGTTCACCTGAAACATGAAGTGTGTGCATCTTGGATTTCCTCCCAGATGGAAGTGAACTATGGGAAACACTGGGATGAAATAAACAACAAGAAGAAACTGCTGATCAGCCAAGCCTTAAAGAACAGTTCCAGTTCATCTGTAGTCAGCTATTTCATGGAGGTAACAGTGATGATAGAATAATTAATAGAAAATTAATAGAAAAGTAAGACCTTCAATTCAAATATTTAACAGACAGACTAAGAATAAATGTTGAATTTTTTTTTATTGCAACCTTTTTTTTTGTAAATATGGTATGTACTAATAATGTAAGGCAAGTACCCAGACCTTATAATTTTGAGGTAGGTGAGGTCTTAGCCCAGAGACACTGAGATCTCTGACATTTGCTAGAAGATAAATTTTGCAGATACTGGAAAAGTTGGAGTATAATTTGGTCTGAGGTTTCTGCATTGTTAACTCCTATAAAATGATTGTAGAGATTTATAAATGCTGCTTTGCTGACACAATGTGGAAGGAGGGTGCAGATTATAATGACTCAGACTATTATAGCATTTTTCTTTTTTAATCTCCTGTAGTTGTAACAAATGTGTATTAAAGAAACCTCGGTTTATAACTGGAGACCATGCATGAAAATCCATAGTGAATAGCAAGTGTGCAAAGGCAGAAGCTGTGACCTTCCTGCTTCTGTGTGTGTGTGTAACTTATACAGCCTTGAAAATGGGATCTTGTTTTTATTTAAATTTGCTTCACTTCTTTTCCAGTTTACCATGCAAGTCCTGGAAAAACAGGTGAATTATAGAACCCAGCTGCAGCACTTGCACACCTCTCAGGTGTATTTGCAGAGCAGCACCAACTTTGAGGTGCAGTATAATGACCATGTACCATTTGTGGCTGGGCTGCACTGGAAGGATGCATCCAGAAATGGCCTGAAGAAGTGGGAAGGTGAAGTACCACAAGCCATTCCCAGTCTGTAATTAGAAAAGCAGGCATTGTAAGCTACTGCCAGGATTTTCTGAGTAGTTTTGCATGAATGCAACAGAATGATAAAGATGTTTGTTGGAGAGAGACCCTGGAGGTTGTCCAGCCCAGCTTCCTGCTCCAATCAGGACTGTTTCTAGCAGTAGATCACATCTGTTGTGGCTTTGTCTAGCTGAGTTTTTGAAATCTCCAACCTATCACAGCCTGGCTGGCTGGCGTCTTCCAGCAGTTCCATTTGCACTAGTGAAGGACAGTAATTTCATGATATACAACCCAGAGATTTTAGTAATTGGAAGATAAAAGGTTGATAGTAGCATTTTAGCTTCTAAAATCTGAAACCCCTGGATCTTATAAGCCTTGATGTGGAGTTCGAGTCCAGGTAGTTTGAAATCTCATGTTTCTGTCAGCTTTAATGTATGTCCCTTGCAGGTGGGTTCAATATAGACACCCCATGGCTCTATCTGTACACAGCTCACAAACTGCACCAGCCTCAGCATTCTGCTTATTTACTGACATCTGAGCTGACAGCTGAAAAAGCTCTCTCCATTAAAAACCTTGTACTGGAACTATTCTATAAAGATCGAGACAATGAGAAGGAAGGAAAAGTTCACATTTACACACCAGCTACCACATACCTGCAGGTTGGTGACATGGTGCTTCACAGAGTGTATGGCTCTGGGGACAGGGCTCTGTGCTATCACTATACCCTGACTCTGGTTTCTAAGCTTCCTCATTTATTTTAGACTGTGCTATGCAGTAGAGGTTTAAAACTGATTACATCATAGTTGCTTTACATTAAGCAATGTGTTGGACTTCTATCACTATGGAATTTGACTTATGTTTATGATTAAGATGTTCCTTTACCAGCTTTTCCTCCTTAGGTCACTACTGCTTCAGGCATAGCCATGGAGGAATGTAAGAAACGTTCTTCAATGAGAAAAAAGTGTTCATCAGCTATTTAGCCTTTTGTGTCTCCCTTGCTTGGAGGAGATAAAATAAACTTTGAACTCTCTATGGTAATTTGGAGTATTTTGATAATGGAGAAGCTGACACACATTTCTAACAGTTCTTGTAAATGATCATTCTGTCACCTCTGTGCTGTGCTGCTGCACAATGGAATGCTGTCTGTCCTGGCTCAGCCAGACTAATGTCTTTGTTTTTTAGGCATCCACAGTTAATCGTATTGGGAGGAATGTTCTGCACAGCTATAGTGAAATGATCTCTCTGTGGAATCAGCTTGTGAAGAATGAGATTCATTTGGAGAATAATGAACGAGCCAAACTTCTCTGCTTTAAGATAAAGAGTACAAAACAGGAATTTAACTTCACAGCCAACTATCAGAATCTGTCAACGGTGAGAAAGGAAAACAAAAGCAATTTTTTTGACTCACCACTCTCTTCCTGAAAGATGTTATTGCTAGTGTTGAAACTTAAACCCTTCCAGTACTGCATCTATTTCTGTCTGTTTTGACAGGTTGCAGTGTAAATCTAGATTCAAAAAGAAAACAAAAACTTGTGTGGAATAGTTTGGAGTACTTCTCTCCTATTAGGGAGCCCAGACAGTCAGCCAGGGAGGAGAGGGTGAAGACAGACAGCTTGACTAGAAACAGAGCTGAAGATGTGATTACTCACAACTTCATGCAGATGTATGAGAGGTGTGGAAGATTCTACTGTCTTGGAGAATCAGAATCTCTTGCCTGCTAGTGAGCATGGTAACAGCCCAGGTTTATATACTATTTTAATCTCTACATCCCTTCCAGTCTTAAAATAATTTTTTGCTTTGCTTGATGTCTATGGCACAGGAAGGGTAATCAGCAGTTTCTTCTTGAAAGAGGTACTTTGATCAGTTACTTTGGTCCATTCACACCTTGCAGGAAGGCTTAAAAAGTGTTTTTTTAAACATAACTTTGAAAATGTTTTTCCCATGCTTTGAAAATCCAGTTTGGTTATATATATACCAGAGCTTGCTTATGTCGCAAATAGGGAGCACTCGAGTGACACATTAAGGGGCATTTGTCTTCTGCTGGAGTCAATTTTCTACTGATGGCACTTTTAATCCTCTGAGACATTAATGGAAATCTGGACTTAAACAGCAGCAGAAATGGTTTGGTCTGTAAAGTGACAGCCTATTGAACAACATGGTTTCCATACTGAGGTTCCTGAATATGAATGCAGTAAATCTGATGGAATTATCCTTTCCTGTTCTGGTCTCATGATCTGAGTGCAGCCTAAGAAGACAAACATTTCTGTGAAGATTGTATGGAGAGATTATAAAAGTCTGCCTGTCATACTGCAGTGTGAAGGTCAGATAAAAGAGCTGAGGAAGGAGAAGATGCTCTATCAAAAACGTGCAACCCTCCATTTCAGGTTTAGTATTCTTATTTCTATCTTTTAAGAACGTTTTTGGCCTAAATTTAATGTGCATCTTGATGCTCTTAGGAAATGTTCTGGACTTTACAAAGTACAACATGCGCAAAGTCTGTTCTTTGTCCCATCTGGCTCCCTGAACTTACTCAAGCACAGCAGATTTATGGGCTGGTTATTTGCCTCCATTAGCTTTTGGCCTCTTTACTTAAATGACAGTGAACAAAGTTGTCAAAGGCAACAGATCATATGTACTGTGACATGATTGCTGGCAACTCAGTCAGGCATATAGCCTCATTTCCTGAAAACAGTAGGATTTATGGTGTGTCCAAACTGGGATGTGGTGAGAAGTTCCAAAATGCAGATCTGATTCTCTGTGCCATCCATGTGCCTTTTTCCTAAACCTTAGGCATTATATAGCCATTCTAAAGCCAGAGGTATCCTCTTAAAACATGTAACAAATGGTCTTGCTTAGATTTTGGAATATTCTTCCATTTTCTGATGAGAATGAGTGTGCTTCTTCTACATATTGGCTGTCCCTGAAATTTCTCTCTTCATTATCCATTACTGAAGCCCAGCCTGAAGGCCTTGGTAAAAGTGTATGCTCAGATTAGAGACATCTGGATCGCCTCTGGGGAAATCTCAGCTTTCTTAAGGCACAGCGGCATCAACAGGAGTGCACAGGCTGCCTTAGGAACCACTGTGTAGCTCAGAGAGAATTAAAACACTGGGAGGTGTCTTTTCAGTAAAAAAATATGTAAATGAAGAGCTGTAGCAGGTATTCTAACATGTGTAAAGGCAGTCCAGTGTCTGCTTATAAAGGTTTGTGCATGCTTCCAAGAGGTTTGACTAAGTAAAAGTGTATAAATATTTAATAAAGTCCATAAAACATTACACTGAAGAAGTAAACTGCTCCTAGAGCTGTGTAGTGCTGAACATCTGTTGCAGGATTCTTGGCATGTAGATACTGTTTCTACAGAAAACATAAGATGTGGACAGGTAAGATTTTCAAACCTGCCAGGAACTTTGGGATACTTTCTCTATTTGAAATGAAGTATTGGCCATACAGGTATAGAAGATGTATGTGCTGGTTATGCATGTCAGAATTTTAGAGCAGCACCTTCTCCCAGTGCTTTTCCAGGCATTTACCAAATTCAGGATAGAAACTCTTTCAAAGTTTCAGGTTAGCGTGTGGAGTTTGTATGCAGTTGTAATGATACTCTGTAGTTTCTTAAGTGTCCAGTCCTATGTGTTTTATTTCTGTACTTGACACCCTGATGGTAACTGATAATTTTGGGTTCAAGTTGAACTCTTTGTGATTTCATTTTGTAGTTGTCTATTAAGATCTTTTACACTATGTTTATTTTTTTTTTTCCAGGCATCCTTTTAAAGTGCCCTTTCTGCAGAGCTTCCTTCTGCAGGAGACATTTACTGTTGACAAAAAGCAAAAGCATTATTTCATGGAAACAAAAGTTTTGATAAATGGGGTGGAGGAAACAGTTCAGACTCTTATACTTGGCTACCAACCTGAAAACCCCTATGTGAGTTATCCAAGAATTTCCTTTAGTCTGATATACCAAAACAACCTGCAAATGAGTGGTTTACTGAATATTACTTATATTCCTTGCATTTTATCTCAAACTTATTTTTAGATTTGTGCTGGCTTAACTCATCCTTATAACTACAGGATGTTTCCCAAAGATGTTGAAATGTGCATTTTAACTCTAAGTCATCAAAGTGTGAGTAAATTTCCCGTTAGATTCAGTTAGGAGATGTTCATTACCTGCTTATTTACACTTTGTCTTTTCAGACTTCAATTGCTATAGGTCTTTAGTTCCTTGCCATGCAGCTAGGGCAACCAAAATATTCAGAGGATGATTATGTCCTTGGTACCTCCTTAATTGTGTATGATAATATGTTGTGTAGTAATCTGTGATAAGAATACTTCATACATAATTTTTTGAGTATTATTATGCGTGAGTGTTATTAATAAAACAAGTACTGGGATAGAATGGATTCAGGATTCTCACCCTTATCTAGCTGTATCTATTAATTTTTCTTGCCAAATGTAGCTATTTTTCCCTCATTTTCTTGTTTCTCATTCTGAACCAAAACATAATAGTTTGCAACTCTTTCATTTTTCATGATGTGTAGGGAAGACTTCCCTGTTGTTTCACTATACACATGGATAGTGCTCAGTGCCCTTTGCTTACTCCCATTCTTAACACACAGGTGAAGTATGAGCTTGAGACTGTCTTAAAAGTGAATAAGGAAGATGTTCTCAGTTTTCTAGGGAGGTATCAGGACAAATCCAGTGAGGAAGATTTTAGACATCTTTTACACATGGATGTGACACACTCATTCCAGGTATGGATGGTTTTAATTGTTGGTATTTTATTTTTTATGTCTTGGTAACTGTTTCACTATATTGTCTTTAGAATTATAATTGTTTGATGCTGGCAAATGTCCTAATCCAAGCGAGTCCTGGCCCTGACAAATAACTGTAGGTATCTCAGCAGGTTCAGTTATTCATCAATAATTTGTGTCAATAATCCCTTGTAAGGCATACATTGGCCTTTTTGTTCATGCTTTTTTTTCTGTTTTCAATATATTTTTCAGTATCTTGGGATAAAACTGATAAAATTTGATACAAACACTTCTTATATGTATCACCCACTTCATGCTAAAAGTTCAGACATTAAATCACATGAGGCAATTGGGGAGAATGCAATGTTCTGTTCTGATACTTTACTTTGTCAAATAGCTGGAGTTTCCACAAGCAATGGGCCTAAGTGGGGAGCTGTTTTCCAGGCAGACTAAACTGGAACACTTTGACAGTGGTGTGAGTGTAAAAGTCATCATCAACAAGAACGTGTCTTCACAGGTCAGTCCCCTGGTAATTACAGTCTTGTTGCTTGAATTGGAAGATTTGAAGTTCATACACTCAGTGACTACAATTGAGAGGTGTAAATTGTTAGGGAAACAGAAACTTTTGATGCTTAGAGTTTATTCTGGCTAGATAGCTAAATGGGGTTGGAATAGCTGGCTTGAGTTTTGGCTGAAATTCAGAAAACTCTTAAAGTTGAGTTAAAATGTACTTAAAATTCAATGTAGCTCACATTTTGTTGTGACAGGGTTGGGATAAAGACAGGGAGATCACTTAGCCATTACCTTCACAGACAAAACAGACTCAGCTTGGGCAATATTAACTTAATTTATTGCCAAATAAAATTAGAGTTAGATGATAGGAAACAAAGATGAGAACTAAAAACTCCTTTCCTCCTTTGCTCCCCACTCTGCTTTTGTCCAGTCCCATCTTGCTGTCTGCGGTATCATTACCCAAACTGATGTTTCACTATTATGTATTATAATTTGAGGTCTTTCATATCGTGCTCTCCTTTCTCTAGGTGCAGGCTCAGGCAGCCCTGAAGAGTTATGGTGAAAACAATGTCAATGGCTCCCTTCACCTTCATGCCAATGGAAGGGAAATGCTGATGCTGGAGGTTGATGTGAACAATGAGAACAGGAGGAATGCCAGAATTGTTGAACTGAGGGCTTTTCTCCATCAGACAATTCTGACAAATCCAGAATCAGTACAGTTCCAGCTCATGGGCAAAATATTTCCATCAAGGTAGAGAAATCAATGTTGGTTAATTGAGGTACTGAAGAGTGTTCTGGGACACAAATTTAAATGTAACAACTTCCCTATGGCTGCAGCAAGGTCACTGAGTGAATGATGGTTCATATGTTATCCCTATTATTGAAATACTTCTGTCCTTACATTTCATTAGTTGGTATAAGTTGTGTTAATGTGTTCTGCTTGCTTTCCAAGGACTTTGTATAGAGAACTTTGAGTGAAGAGATAGTACAAGCTATGCCAGTGGAAAAGGGCACTTCCCAATGTTTATTATAAGGCTTTTAAAGTATTGAAGAAAGCTCTGAGATGGGAAATAGAAATTTGACCCTCCCAAGTTTCAGATGATTTTTCAAATTTCACAAACATAAAGCTATGCAGTGAAGAATTTAGTGTTCCTGCAGAGGACCCAGTGTTCACCAATTGGACAGGATAAGGAGAATGAGGAAATAAGAGTTAAAGGAACCTGAAGATACTACAATTTAGATGAAGCACATTTGATTTACTAGTAACACTAAAAATAAGATAAATTATTCCAAGAAGGGTATTTCATGTGCCTCTGCAGTTTGCTTTCAGTACTGGGCTTCCAATAGTGTATTAATTTGTTTAAATACCAGAGTAAGCCATAAGAGAGCAATTTATTGCAGTTCACAGGAAAGAAAACAGAACACTTAAAATTTTTAGAATGACGATTTGTTTAGGATTTGTTTTGCAGTGAGAATACAAACAAAAATAAACTTGAATGTTTCTGGACAAAAGCTAAAAGGATGCAATCTGTACAGACTTTGGTTGCTGTCTGATGGAATGAAACTTACTTCCCTGAACTGTATAGTTTTTTTCTTCCCATGGAGTAGATTTTCACTGAGGTTTTACTTGTCATCAGTCTTTCAACAGGGTTCCAACTTCTAGGAGGGATGTCTAACACTATGAAAACTGGAATCATTGCCTCACTTTTAGGTATTTTGTCCAGTATACTTGAGTCTAGAAAGTCAGATAGTACAGTGGATAGTTTGTTGAAGGCAATGTGAAAATTGTGTCTCAGTCTTATACTTACAACACTGAAAATGGAGCTTTTTGTTGTTCCAGCAGGTTTCCCTAAAAAGCTGTGCTGTGTTTCTCCAACACTGTTCAATTCAGGACCAAGATGTAAAGAAATATTGTTGGTTCATTTACCAAACTCAAATGATGGTGGTGCTTAGAATTATTTTTTAAGCTGAATTCTCAAATGCTGCTTTTAAATCAGCACCAAAGAGACATTTCATATCGTGACAGAGAAGGCTTCATTTCCAATTCAAAGTCTCTCCAACTCTTTCTTTTATTAGGAACCATACCAAAAGCATTCAAGAATTTGAAAGAAAAATTAGTCTGCCAGTCTGTGAAGCTTTATTAAGGAATTTATAAACATCTGGTGAATGGTGTGTGCTGACTGCAAGGCATCTGATTGCCTGATTCACAACACTGGAATGAGTGCCCAGGAAGTCTGTGGAGTCTCCATCCTTGGAGATACTCCCAAACCTGACCACACGCACTCCTGAGCACCCTGCTCTCATTGATCCTGCTTTGAGTGAGGAGGGTTATCTTGACAGTTCTGAATTAACCATAATAATATCTTACTAGCAGTTTTTATGTCTGTCTTTTTAGACTTCTGTTGTCTTCTGACTTGAAGCTTAATGAACATAGGCTTCACATGGATTTCATGGGAGCCAAGGAGCAGAAAGTTGGTTTTGTTTTGTCCCTAAATGGAAGAGTCCAACACACTTTTACTGGATTAAAGGCCATACCTCACCTCCTTTCTCTGGATGGATTACTGAAGTGCAAAAACAACGTTCACAATGGTACTCTGTTCCTTTGTGTTTCGTTCTAACCTGCAGCTATCTTTCTTAAGAAAGCTTCTTAATTTTAATGTAATCCTTCCTGAGCTGCACAATGCATTCAGCTCTGAGGCCCTCAACAGAAGAGCAATGTGTGCCTGTTGGAGCAAGTCCAGAGTAGACCACAGAGATCAGAGGGCTGAAGCTCCTCTCCCCTGCAGGCTGGGAGAGCTGGGATTGTCAGCTTGGAGAAGAAAAGGCTCCAGGGAGACCTTAGAGCCCCTTCCAGTAACTAAAGGGGCCTCCAAGAGAGCTGGAGAGGCACTTTGGACAAAGGCCTGGAGTGACACTGGGACAAGGGGGAATGGCTTCAAACTGAGAGAAGGCAGGTTTAGATTGGATATTAGGAAGAAATTCTTCCTTATGGGGGTGATCAGATAATGGAACAGGTTGCCCTGAGAAGCTGTGGCTGCTTCCATCCTTGGAAGTGTTCGAGGCCAGACTAGACAGAGCTTTGAGCAACCTGGGACAGTGGAAGGTGCCCCTGCCTATGACAGAGGGGTTGGAACAAGATGGGCTTTAAGTCTCTTCCAGCCTGAACCATTCTGTGATTCTGTATAATGCAGGGCAGAGTATTTTGCATGCAAAGTGAACCATGGGTCATCGGGTTGAGAGTACTTTTCAGTGAAATAACATAGTGTGGAATTTTTCATGTTTTCATGGATTAAAGGAAATAGTGGGTGGCCTCTTTCCTCTTTTGAAATGGGGGGCTCACTTGAGACTCCTACTTCTTTGAATGGCTCCATGGGTGGAGTAGGTCATTCTGGAGCTCTGGAGGGATTGTTTAGCCTGTAATTACACAAGCAGTAGGTCACAATGTATCTGTAAATTTTCTTTTCCAGTGACTATAGTATATGGCCTAAGAGCACAAGCAGCTTGGTGAATAATCAGCTGCCAGAAATACTAGTATGTAATTTGTTTTAAACACATACACTCACTAGTAGAGAAACCCTCAACATTGAACTGATTTGCTGTCTAGATTAGGCAAAGTTATCTTGTATAATAAATGTAAATTTTGCTACTTCCTCCTGGTATTAAAGTAATGGTTAATTTATACATTACTTCTAAAACTGTGGTTATTTCTGTCACAAGAATCTCTCTCCACAGTAATAATTTCTGCCTGTTACAGGTAACATCAATGTGATGGTCAACAAAAGACTGTATGGACTGCATGTCAGGAACAGGAATGTGTTTGGGAATACCACTGTGCACAATATCACTGTTGCCATCATTCAGAATGGCAGTCAGGCAGTTCCAGTGGAGGCACGACTGAAAGGACACCTGGAACTGAGTAAAGAAAAGAAAAGGGGCCTAGCTAGCTTCCAGGTGGATGAGAAGGCTCTTTCTGTAGAGTTTTTCAATATCATGGATCATGGGCATGGCAGAGTCAGTGGGGCTTTCACACATAATGTCGACTTCTTAAAAAATGCAGGTAGGAAGGAAATTTGACTTGATGGTGTGGTCTAACAAGGTGAATTTATCTAAATGACTGCTGACCAGTGGAAACAGATTAGTTATGTTTGCTCACACCAGAACAAAATGTAATCCGGTCTTAGCAGCATTCTTTTTAATATTGTTGAGAAAATACAGTAAAATGGACACAGAAATAGTTCAAAGAGTTTTGAAATACTTCAGAGTAAATTATTTTTCACTTGTACATCTGTATTCTTGCACAGCATCAAAGCTGACCAGTTCCTCTAAATACAGTTTTATGCCAAGTGTTGTTTCCTAAGCAAAGCTGTGGGTTTTCATGAATTGGAGTTATCAATAATTTTGCATGGGTTCCTTTGGTTCCTTATGAAAAACTATAGAAGGCTTCTTTTGATCTGTAGTACTTTGTAGTCTGTAATAATAATCCAGAAGTGCTGTTGATTTTACTTCCTTCCCTGCAATAGGGTTGCCTTTGGATGGCATTTTTACTGCCACGTGTGAGCGTGGCACAGGAAATCACACCATTGCCATAGCCCTGGAGAGTGGCAGTGAAAGGATTGCTGCTGTGTTTGAGGGACACAGACTGGCCACAGAGCTCCCAATACCCCAGCTATCTGTCAGCATAAAGCACAACATCTCAAAGATAAAGAAACATGGGATCCCTTTCGTTTTAGAAGCTGCTGGCTATTATGAGGTGAGAAGAGTTCTGCCCGTGCAAGTTTAATTTCTGGCAGGACAATTTGTATATACATAATAACTCCAGGCTTTTCCTGTACACTGTATATATTTATTTTAGAAGCTGCTCTGTGTTTGAGATTTACTAAATTACTGAGTGAAAGAAAGGTGGTGTCTGGCTCCTTGTCATACTGTGGACCTTTCATCTGAGCTCTTGGAGATGAATCTAGACTAAATGAGATGCTATGTTCAGTTCTCATTTAAGTGAAGTGCTTTGCTGCATATGAACAGATGTCTTGTCCAATTTTATCTTTCCCCTATAAATGGAAAGTGGACCAGCAGGCCTAAGGCTTGCATCTGGTACTGGTGTCATCTTTTGGATGGCTATTAAAGAGCAGAAGAGTGTTTAGCATGGCTTTCCCTTTGGAAATTCCTACCCACAGGAGCATTATGGACCATGATTCCTGGTATGGTGTTGCTTAGCCACTGTTCTCTCTATCTGTGTCTCTGCTACAGATCTGTGAATGTTAAGCTCTTTTGCATTGCAGATTCATAAAAGAAGGGTCCAAATACTTTGCTATCTCAGACATCCACTGAAAGGCTCAAGTCACTCATGTGTTTATTTATACTTGGGTGGCTTCAAACACTGCAGTAGGGTGAGACACAGAGGTGTGCAGAGAAAGAATTCTAAACAGTTCCCTTGCCTTGCTTTTTAGTAGTTCCAGTGCTTTAATTGTTTGTGCCTGAGGGCTCAAATCCTTCAGGGTACTGAATGCTCTCAGTATGTTTTGGAGCCAGAAGGAATTATTGATACACTGCATTTAGAAGGTCTGGAATAACACTACAATCTCTATTTGAAATGAATCTACTTTGATGAATTTGCGCTTCTATTTTACCAGTGCTGCTGCCCTGACACAGACTGTGATGTTTAAGCACAGTGAAACACACTTTGCCTTTACCAGTCATTGCTGGGTTGTTGTTGTTTGTTTCTTTCCATGATTTGGTTTCTTTTGTGCATAGAATTTCTCTAGAAAGATTGCTGCAGGGATAACAGCCACAGTGGAGACAGAGCAGCTCAAGATTGCAATAGAGAAGAAAACCACTGACACTGCCATGGAAATTTCTCTTTCACTTCACCATGATGTGGGAGGACTGACAGACATCGTTCCATGTGTACTAGAGGTTTGCAAAAATCCTGCCATATATTGTAATGTATTTAGTGCACTAAACACTAAACTGTTCTTAAATCTGTTTTGGTGCCTTGATCCATTTGATCCTTAAAGCAGCCCTGCAACTTGCTCCTTTGAATTTTAGTTCTCCCTGCTTTTCTTCATATTCTGAATGTACTTTTTTGACAACACCAACAGGTTGCTTGCAGCGGAGAATCTGCTAACAAAAAACTTTTTGGCCTTTGCAATGGTGCAATTGCATTTCATCATTTTGAGGTACTGGCTTCATTTATAAACTTTGCTGTCAACAAAATAGTGTCTTAAACGACCATGAAGAGAATCTAAGTACTGAAAGTGTAAGGCACATGGAAATGGATTTGAGCTTCCTGGAAGTTTTGTGTGCACTTTCAAATATTTTCACTCCGTTAATTACTGGTTTGGGTTTTCTTTGTTATTTCTATTTTGGAAGTCCCAAATAAAGATTTGAGTCCATCTCACCATTTGTTTCAACATTTATAATTATGTAGGATGAATACAAAATGGTGTAGGGAACCTTCTAGTAATAGGAGCTTTTAAAAACAGTATGTGACCTAACAGGAAAGCAAACATGACAACAGTTTTCTGTAATTTTTCAGACTCCAGCAAGACTTTCACTGAATGGGTCAGTATTTACCAGCAACTTTACTGTCATCCTCTTTGGACATGTTTCTTTTCATGATGTATTTGCCTGCCTGCAGCTCTATGCCACCACTAACACCCATCCTCATTTAGAAATCGACTTCCAGCATTCTTTGCTTTCACTTCATTCTTTGGGAATTGCCGGAGAAAACCAACTGAAGGTGTCAGCCATGAGAAGTGACAAATACAAGGGCATCCTTGGTATTGTACTTGGGCCTTGCACTTTGGAAGCTGATGGGGAAGTGACCCTGGCAAACAATGAGACAGGATGGGTACTTGCTTTTAGAAACAAGTGCATCAGTCTAGAGGTAAGCCCAGATTGTTTTCTTCATGTCCACCCAGTCTGTGTATTTCAGATCACTGAGTTACAGAAAATTGTCTTCAGACTTTTCCTCCAGAAAACTTTCATGGATAGGCCAAATTTAGTCCTTGAAGTTGTTCTGGCAAAGCAATGAGTCAGAGCACTTGCACAGGGAAGTGTATTTGAAGATGATAATTTGGAGTAATACAATGGTAGATGTTACTGCTGCTGTCATAAAAACATTACTTAATAATAGTTTATTAATTAAAAGAAACTTTTGTCCTAAAATCTAGTGAAAAGCATGTCTTTTCAGTTTGGAATTGTGGAGGTTAAGACTTTTTTCTTCTACAATAGTTACGAAAAGTGTATTGCAGGATTTGTTCTTCTTTCCCCCTCCCCCCTATTAATTTTTTTTTCAGGTTTTTCACAGAGAAATTTCAGGTTGCTCTATGAAACAAGTTGTTTTGTATGGTCCTTTCCAAAAGCAGATGGTTTCAGAAGGAAGGAATGCTTTCTCATGAATTAGGTACAAACGAAGAAAGACAGTTGCTTTACTTTGTGTGTTTTAAACCATGTAATCTGTTCTGTTGCAGAGGATGGGATTGCCTCGTGTTGCAGTCTTGGGTGGTTCATTTCGACAGAGCATCTGCAACGTGGGCTTGTTAATGAACCTGCAGTGTGATGGCAGAGCAGTGGATGTGCAGATAGACACCTCCTGCCAGCATGAATATACACTCCAAGGGATGCTCAGGCACTCACATCCCTGGCTCAGCCAGCTTGGGCTGCCTTTTGAAAACTCTGTCCTGATCTCTGCAGCCGCAGACTCCACCACAGAGGGCATTTTCCTGCTGCAGGCTGGCAGATGCAGACTGAGGGCTAGAGGGGATCTCTGTGTTCAGAATAAAGCTGACTGGACACTGGAAACAGAAACAGAATGTCAACTTCTGCAGGTAGCTGTGGGAAGCTTTTAAAAAAACGTTTGGTATCAAATGAAGGCCATGTGGGTTTTAGCTAAAATGCCATTGCTGGAGTGTTGGGAAGGCACCCCTGTCACAGCATTAGGCAGTATCTCACACATCCTGTTCCCAGGTGCTCTCTGGAGACTGAGATCAATTCAGCATTTGCTGGCTGCTGCCTTCGCAGGCCGACACTGCCCTCTAAGGCTGAACAGCAATATTTGCCTGAGCTCTGTCAAAAATACATTCCCTGGTCTGTGAACATTATATCAAAACAGAATTACCTTGGTTTTTTCAGTTAGCCTCACTGACTATACTAGAAAGAACGAGTACTACAAAATCTAGGGTTTTTTCCCTAGATATTCATAGGCATTTATATTTTGCTTTCAAATCCTCAAATTGAGTAACTTCCTCAACTACAAAGTGGCAACATAATAAATGACAGGAAAGTTGTAGTAAAGAGAGAATGAAAACCCCTTAACGTATTAAAAATAGTAGATTTTTCAGTGTTTTTAGAAATCCTTTGACAGAATGGGAAGAAATCTTTCATTTGGGATGTTGCATAAGACAAGCTGGAAGTTTAATCATTAAAAATAACAAACCTTCTACTACCAGATGCAAGAATGTCTGTTAAGCCTATGATTTTTTTTGTACATTTATTTGTTTGAAAATGAGATTGGTGTGAAGCATAGAATGTTTAGTTAACTTTGCCAATCTGAAGAAACAGGTATTTTGTATTTTTGTAAATGTAAAACTTCATAAAGATGCAGAAGTTGTTAATTCTGTAGCATAGTCCCTAAATCTTCCATCAGGTCCTAATCAGGAAAAATCACCATCTTTCTTGTTGAGAGGGAGAAAATAGCAGCGTGGAAATTGTAGTTTTTTGTCTCTGATATTGTATCATATAATACACACTTGTCTTAAACTGTTTATATATTCCAAAGGATTTTTTTTGTTTAAATCTTGATAGGATCTCAATTTCCCAACTCAGTCACGGCTCACAGGATCCATTCAGAAAGACAAGTGCCAGGCAGAGCTGTTCTCTGTTCTGGAAACAGAAGGCAAAACTGCCCGTCTTGAAGTGAGAGTAGAGTGCAAGCCAAAGATGACTCTGGAAATTCAATTCAGGCATGACCTCCCCCAGCTGAAGGAAATCCCAAGGGAAAATGAGCTGTCCATCACTGCACGGAAACACTTAAAATACCTTATTGGAGTTGGAATGAAATTGGGTGCCTGTGAGCTTCAAATGAATGGGGACTTTGACCCTGAAAAGAGCCTTCAGTGGAAAATGCTTATAGAAAACAAATGCCAAACAATTCAGGTATGGAATTTTCTCATTTAATGTTGAATTTATACATCGAAGCTAGGATCTTTGTACTTGATAAAGTCAAAAGACAGTAATCCAAGTATTTCAGAGAGATAGCAAAGAAATAAAAACATTCTCTTTTAATGTTGCATCTTACTTCTGGATCCAGTCATTCACTGTATTTGGCATATGCCAAATTTTCTGTTTGTCAGTACCTGCAGATAATGGACTTGCTTGTACTAGCTCTGATGTGTTTTCTAAAACATGGTTGAGAATTCTGCAAGGTTTTTCTATTCAGAAATAATGATTATTCAAAGTTTTCTTTGGCTTTATCATCAGTTACAATTTCTCAGCAGTTTGAGAAACAAACTCTGAAATAGTTTAAAAATATATGAAGTAAATAGGTAATCTTCAGGTCAGAAAATTCAGTGTATGGAAAGTTTGAGAGATATGTTATCACATTATGATCTGTGGATTCAATATTCAAGTCAGGGTAAATCTGAAGATACAAAGATGAGATTTACTTGTCCTTTTCCAAAAACAGAGCTGCCATAATAAACTTCGGTATACTGTCTGGTTTCACTGAATTTGTGGATACTTTGGGTCACTGGGACAATGCCAAGTATAGAACATTAATTAACTTTTCATTTAGGCAGGAAGAACTGCAACATTGTCCAGTGTTCTCTTTGTGTTGACTCATGTATCAAAAATAATCAGACATATTCAAAATGAGAAAGACAACATTTATAAAATGTATTAAAAAGCTCTCAAGATTTCTGAAACATTCTGTGCTTTTGCTGCCTGATACACTTGATTTTACAGCTGGGTGATTAAAGTTACTATTAGGAATTAAGTTTCAGGGGTATAATGTATTTGTGGTTAAGTGCAAAAGTGGTGATTTTTTATAGTTTTTCTTTCTTTTACAGGATCTTGGAGTACCAATGAAAATTGATGGCTCAGGCTACCTTTTGATGGATAAAATGAACCTAGATTCACAGACCCTGATCACTGTTGATGAAAGTAAATTCCGAGGACTCCTTATACTAAAAGTCACTGATGTGAGTACCCTGCAGGCTGTTTGAATGTGTAAACAAGGTACAGAGTAATGTGCTCTAACCTATGTTATTTGGAACAAATAGTCAGACTTTAGTAATGAATGCCAGAATATAAATGAAATAATAAAATCTTTGAAAATCTGGCACCCTCAATGATCAGCAACTGATGTATAGGATAATAGGATATAGGCTCTGGCACTTCCTGAATCATTTCCTTATTATGCTCTTTATGTGTAAAATTTTGTTACTTCTATTGGATGTTCCTTACATCACTGTGGTTTACCCTGCAAAGTAATAGGCAGTGATTAATTGAGACACTGATGTTTGTTTATTCAGTGAGACAGCAACACAGGGAAGGCTGTGGATCTCTTGCTTTTCTGTTGACAATTACAAGTTTGGATTCTCTTGTCATCAGAGCAGGAGAGCAGAGAACATGCACAAGGATCTGTTTCCTCCTGGTGTTTCACTTTCCTGCCATAACTGGTAATTTCTGCATGTTTCTGTGCCACAGAGAAACAACATAGCTAGTGGGAGTTTAATTCATATTAAATGTAGGACAGACAGATTTCTGGTTTGAACTCTATTGCATTGATCTTTGGGTTCTACACATGCTTTGCTCTCTATGCTGTGAAATATTAACAGGAAAAACAAGAGTTGGATGCTGTGCTAACCCATAACATCCAAGAAGCTGCTGACATTGGCATTCCCATGAGGATGTTACTTGATGTGATATCAGAAAAAAACAGTGACTTCTATAAAGGATTTATTAATTTCTGTGTGAACAACAAACAAGTAAGTTTTTCTTCCATACCAGTAGTATGTGAGATAGAGGTTGAAATAAGCTAACTGATTTGGTAAATAGTGTTTCTGCAAACAATCCAAATGCAATACTTCACAGTGACTTAGTGGGTTAGTTCTAAGGGCCTTAATTAAATGAAGGTAGTATCTTTAGGCCACTCCTTCTGTGCAATTGCTCCTTGAAACAAATTTAACATCAGCAATGATCCATGACTCACATTTGTAAATTATATAAAACCTTCCTTATCAAAAATCTTTACTTGGTGCAGCATATCCCCTTTTATAGTACGAAGTTGTGACTTCTAAAAAAATTAGACAATTCTTCACCATAAAGTTTTAATAGTTTTCATAATTTCATTCTGACATGTAAATTAGTCCATATCAGAGATGTGCCACAGTTAACTTTTGTCGTATTTACTTGAACTGAGCAGATTACAGAAGAACTGAACTTTGTCCAGAAGTTGGATGTTGTGTCTCTTAACTACAAGCTTACTCATAACATAGAGACATTGAAGACTTTGCAAATAAAAGACAGGATTGAGTTGCAGGTAGGTTATCAACCTGGAGCCAGGCCACAAGGGGAACAGCAGCTGGGGAAGAGATGGCACATTTGCTGTTTTGGTGAAGGCGGAGTTCAGGTGCTCCCTTTGTTCTTGTGGGGAGTCCAGAAGCTCCGTTTGTTCTCACGGGAGAAGAGCTTAGATCTGGACTTTGCACAGGCCTGGGATTGGAGGTTGGCTCCCAGTGTGGAGTGAGAGGAAAGTACTGCATTTATGTATCTGACAGAGCTGCAGTGTCTCCTGGACAGAGAACAGAGGGGAACATTGCTGGGGTTTCACTGGATCCTGTCCAAATGTTTTTTTTCCTTCCAAACTCTGACTACTTGGCATATTTTTTTTTATCTGAGAAACACAAGACTTATTAACCATGTAACTCAATAGCATTAAAGCATGGTCATATTTGAGAATACATGTTAAATGGTTGAAGTCTTAAATAAAAGGGACATTTGTAACTATGTTATGTTATAAAATGATACAAAGATGCATCTTTGAGACATCTCTGAGATTATACTGTCTCAACCAAAGAAAGAACTCTGACCAGTAGGAGCTTTAATTTTTATAATTCTGTCTTTTCACAATTTACTTTTGTTGCACACAGGCTATCTTGAACGTAAAAGTCACTAGAAGCTTTAGTTTGAAAGTGCTTTATGGTGCTCACCTAATAGTTCTTGAAGGACAAATCCAGAAGTTTGAAACAAGTACCAACATAACAGGGAATTTCCATCACTCTTTGCCATGGCTGCTACAAGCCAGAGTCCCATCATCTTTACAGGTAGCTTTGGGTTTTTGTTGTTTTGTGGGGTTTTGTTTTGCTTGTTTTTAATTATAATTATTGTTCTATATAACAATGTAATTCAAGCTCATTACTTGAATGAAAACTCCGTTTTGTAAGGTACAGGATGGAAGCTAAGATTTTCTGATATTTAAAAACTGGATGCCTAAAATTTGAACTACTGAAGGAGAAAGTTTCTCCTTGACTGCTATCTGAATGAGATTCTTCCATTATGATCAGTGTTAGTTGAGTGGGTACTGTTGATATTGTAGCTCTACAGGAGAGCTTGAGCACATTGCACCAGGGACTGGAGTTGTTCCTAAGCTCTTTAACAGGAATTTTATACTGGAAGAAGTATTTCTTTGGGTGCTATTTTCAGGGGAAGTACTGAAGTACCTACTATCTGGTAAATATTGTCAGTAGGTGTAGACTGAGTATCCTTTATAAGAAGGGAGTTGCGTCTGTGGGATAAAAAAGAACCTAATGAGAATATGACATGGATCAGTGAGGCTGGCATGGCTTGACATTCATTCAGTTGAATGAGCTTCATACTTGAAAGTCAAAGATAATTAATGAAAGGCCAGGAGACACTTTGTTAATGGATAGATTTTGACATGAGTATAGACTATAAAGAACTTTCACTTCCATTTTCTCCTGTCTTAAATAGTATTTAAATATTGTTTTGAGAACTTATACCATATCATTTTTTAGATAGATGTGGTTTTTCAAGGGAGAAACACTACTCAAGAGAGATATGTGCACATTGCAGCTGGAGAAACATCAATCACATACATAATTAACTCCTATTATGTTGGCCACCAAGTGGATCTCTTCTGCCAGAGTGTGCACAGCAGTGAGGTACTCCAGGCATCTGGTTATCCTAAGGCAATCAGCTTGATTTTCAGTTTCCAGAAATCAGGTGGGTACCTGCCATTCCTGGCAGGATTTTTTATTCTATAATAGTTCTTTGAGGATGTTCCTTCAACAGCTACAAACTGACTAAGATTTGCTGGTAGTACCTAGAAAGAGACTTTATCTTGTTTGTAAGTAAAATTGTCATTCTGAAACTGCATCTGTGATTAGCTGATGAAGCCAGCCTACCCTCAAATCTTGCCCTGGCATAAATTCTATCTGCATTTATCTTTTGCACTGTGATCAGGTACCTTAAGTGTCCCCAGGGGAATATATTCGTATTGAAGGAAACTCAAAAACTGCAATTCCTGCACCAAAGGGCAGGAACTACTGAAGTTAGCAGGCACTGAATTAATACTAATGTGAGTGGCATCATCTCCTTTCACCCATTCAGAAAAAACCAGCAGGATGAGAGGTTGCTCTCAGGACAGTCACAGTCACCATGTGATTTCCACCGTAAAACCCACATTTTTGTGGGTTTTGTCTTATCATAAGATAAATAAAGAATCTGGGGGGATTCACATCTCTTATTTTTATCTTTTAGCAGTCTCGTATTTTCCTTTTCAAAAATGAAAAGCTGGTAGGAAAGTGGGGAAAGGTCTTCAGATCATGTTCTTTGGGCATTGTTGAGCTGCTGTAGCTGGAACCAAAGGAGTCACTGGAGGTCAAAAGAGCTCAGAGCTCTTCCCCAGAAGAGGCTGCTGCAGGCCAGGGATGCAGTTTGCTGTATGGATTAGTCAGCTCTTGCTGCACAAACACATTCCTGACTGGAACTAACTTGTCACTTAACACTGGATGTGGATACACAAGCTCTGTTACCACAAGACTTCGCAAGGACAAAGTTCAAGGACATCCAGAAAAACTCTGCCCTCCTCCAACCACAGGCCAGAGTTCTTGTAATCCTGAATGATGACTTTGTCTTGATTAATATATTAACCTAAAAGCTGTCTGGATTAATTTTATGCAGGCAGTACTGAAATTTCTCAAAAATTAGCTGTTTCTCAAAAATTGGCACTGTTTTGTCCCTTCTATATAGAAAACAAAGCCAAGACTGCCTGTGAAATCCAATATGATGAGAAAGATGTAACTGTGACTGTGGATGTTGACACAGACTTTGAACTCTTTGGTATATTTGTGTTCATGGCAGAGGTGAAGCATTCCATATCACTTCTCCATCACCTGGGACTTCCCTTCTTTCTTAAGGTAATGCACCACAGAACTTTTGCTGTTTTTTGATGAAAGCTGTCACTTGAGCTACATTTGCATTAATCCAGAGCACTGCCAGTGGCCTCAGTGAAATGAATCCAGGTTTATATACAAATGCAGCTGAGAGCTGACTTGGCCCAGTTTATCTGAATCCTCTTTGACTTACGTACAGAGCTAGTGGTCTGTTTCCAAGGAATGTGGTCAGGTACCTGAAATCCCCAGTTTCAGGGTTAATAATTTCAGGAAGGCACGTACTTACTGTCATTTTGCAGCTGATAGGGCTCACAAAAGTAGAAAGAGCTTTTGGTAGAAAACAGCTGTCCTTCATTCCTAGAGAACTCCTTGGCTTGGTTAAACCAATTCTAGCACAAATTCCTAAAATGCGTCAGTGTTGAATAAACAGAAGTAGATTTATATTCCAAACTACTTGATAGGATCAACAAAGGCTGTACCTGTTTATCCCTTGGGAGAAAGAAGCATTAGTTGAAATGTCCCCTTCCCTTTTGAAGGGTAGTACACAGAAAAACACTTCCAAGCGATCCACCACCTTCTCTTCAAATAACAGGACATGTAGCTAGGATGCAAGAGTAAAGGTCCACTTTCCTGAACATAAACATTAGATCAATATTAAACCTGCATATTAAGTATCAGTGTTTCAAGGGAATATTGCCAACCTTTTATTGAAAGGTATATTTTCACTGCTTCTTCCCCATTAATGTCTTTTATCCTCTAAATGTTTGAATGGAAAAAGAAAGGAGATGGCAGTTCTTGAGGTGCTTTATTCATGTATAAGGTATGAGTACAACCAGGGGACTTCAGGAATTGCTGTTCCCACAGACTTTGGCAAATACCATTGTTGATATTGAAGCATGGGAAATGGCCCTCATCTTTCCCAGAGAGATTCTTTAGCATTTTCAGGATAAGGTGGTAGATGATGCAGCAGCTGTGGGAGGACGAAAATGAAGAATATGCCCTGGAGTAAAAAATTTGTGGAGCCTCATCTGTTTCTTAAAAAAAAAACCCCAAAAAAAACCAAACCAAAACTCACAAAAAAACCCCTAAAGCAAAACACAAAACAGAAAAACAAAACAAAAAAAAAATTCCAAAAAATAAAAGAGCACACGATTTCTTTCTAGTATATAAAAATGAGAGTATAGGAGACAATAATAAGAGCCAGTAGCTTTAGACTTAAACTAGATAAGGCTACATTGAAAGTAACACTAATATTTGTCAATAATGGAAATGAGTAGCTATGGAAACATACACAAAAAAAGGAAGACCTCTCTTGAGGCTCTTGGTTTACATGTAGGAAGCATCCAGAAGGCCTGTCTGGAAGATAAGCTTCAGTCAAGATGGTGGTTTTGAGTGAGTCAAGAGATTGTGCTCAGTTGAAGTGAAATGATGGGTAGAAGTTTTGCATGTGATTTGTTTATTTTCCCCCTCCACAGATGACAATTCAAGAAGTCATGACTGAAAATGAAACTGAAGGTGCTCTGAGGCTGACCTATGAACAAAACAAAAACTTCTCCTTTTCCATCAGTAGAAAAAGAGACCAGCAAGGGTAAAAGGGTCATTCTGAGAACTATAAAAAATGTCACTAGGCCACTGTGAGTCCATGGAAAACAGTTACTTTATTAATCACCAAATCAGTGGTGAAATGGATAACAAAACTTGGATGAAGTGAGTAGTCACCAAATGCTCTGTAGACCTCAGGGAGTTTCTGAAGGGCTGCAGACAGATTCCTCCCCTCACAGCTTGGGACCTGTCTCTCTGCCTGCCCACACAGAAACCAAGTAGCAGACAGTGAAAGAGTCCGTGAAACTCAAGGCTTGAACCAGACAAGTACTTAAAAATATAATGTAACTTGACATAACTTTAAATCTTATTAAATTGTTTTGGCACAGTTGAAACTTGTAAAATTATGGCAACTTGGTTTTCCAAGCTGATATCAGTATGGCTGTATCTGCACAAAATTGTAGGCTTTTAAGGATGTTTAGAGGTATGATATTTTCAGCCTTGGGGTATTTCAGATATTTCTTAAGTTTCTAGCAAAAGACCTTTGCACTGAAAAGTCTTGTAAGTTCTGTTAAAATCTCTAATAATTGTAAATTCTAAGTTTATAAACCATTACAGTGCTTGAGAAGTCAGATTCCAAAATACCTTTCTCATTTTTAAAAAGCTGATGCATTTGCTATGGCAAAGTGATTTTTGGTCCTGTGGTTACATTCTGTCCCTGGGATACATACACAGATTTTTTGCTGAGCTCAGAAGTGGTCATTTTGTGTGACTGCATCAAAACCTGGGAGCTGGGTAAGTGTTCAGTGGCAGGTACTGCCATTTTAACTTTGAAAACTGGGGCAGACTTGGAGCTAACTCTGATGAACTTGTGCTGCCAGCAAGAGTTACTGAAATATTGTTGAACCATACATTTCTTCCCTTTAGTGAAGAGTTGAGTATAAAAGCACTCCAGAATCATCCCTTCTTTCTACAATACTTCCCCTGTGCAGCAGAGCTGTCTTCTAAGGTAACTTATCTGCAAGTAATCCATTGCAAACATCACTGCAAAGTAGCCTTGTCTAATATGTTAGGAGTCAAGCTGCTTTAATTCTAGTACTAGTATCTCTAACATTTTTGTTATTGTTGAGGATGTTCCTGTTTTTAAAGATGTTAACAATCCCAGTCTTTTTCCCCCCTTTTTTTTTCTTTTTTATTTTAAATTAATGGGTACTTAAAAAGGTTAATTATGATATGAGTGAAGCAAAAGGCAAACTCTACCTCAGGATGGAAAAAAGGGATTTCAACGTTTCAGCAAAGCTAACTTTGATGGGAAGCAGCTTCACTAATGCCATTGAAGTGGCACAGACCATGGCCCAGGTTGGTACCATCCACTGATGGCAAAGGCAGGCTGTGGTGGGAGGGCACTCAGGGGGTGGCTGCCAAGCAGTGAGGGCCAAATGCAGGTCCTGCTGTGTGAGGTGTTTTGCCCTTCATTTCTCCAGTAGCACGAGCAAACATTTGACTGTGGATTAGTTTGAGCTTATATTTGTTTGCTCCTATAGATGGAGCACTCACATAGTATTTATAGTAAATAAGAAAAATAATGTGTTACAAATTGAACCAGTTTTTATAATGTAGGTACCACACATTTTTTTCTCTAAATACAAAAAGATGTTACAAATACCTATTGTTGTTTGTGCTATCTGCTGGATTTATTCTGTGGGACTCTTTATGTTGTAAGGATTATTCTGTCAGATAAAAGAAAATCAAACTATAATAATCAAAGACTGTTGTAAAGGAAATACTCAATTGTTTATGTATGTTCCATTAGTTGCAAAGATGACTTTCTGTAGAAATGAAGACAATTAGAAATGAATAGTAGCTTGTACAAGAGCAGTGGGCTTAGAGCATCATTGTGCTAGACCTTTAAAAACACTTTCCTACAGAAAGGACTTTGTGGTACCAAAATTATACTTAGGTTTTACCTTCTCAGAGAACTTGGGGTTTAATGTTTGCCCTCTTTTATTTTTAGTTAAAAATTCTTCCAAGGCAGCTTGTGTTTATGACAATTTACCAAAAAGGTAACAGAACTCGTCTGCTAAGGCACATTGCCCTGTGGGATGGCAAAGAGATAAAGCTAACAGGCACTTACACTGGACCCTTCCCAAAGCTGCCTGGAGGTCATGGCATGCAGGGTAGGTTTCTCAAGTCTTTTACAAGTGTTCAAAGCAGACAATAAAATAAGCTACATAAATTTGATTTCAAAATGCATGTCCAAAGCATTTCAATACTGTTTCAAATTTAGGGCTTCTAAGGTCTTATTTGCTTTAAATTCATTATAGGTCTGGCTGTTAGAAGTGTCCACTTCAGAATACTCTTTCTGCTTTGTGGATATGGAACATAAAACTTAAGTACTGGGTGCTGAAGGGAGCACTGGTCACACTGGCTCCTACTTCGAGGTGTTAAACCCTTATGTTGAGGCTTTATGATCTGAAAATAGAGAAGATAACTGCACTTACCTGTTTTGAGTGTTGTAAACTGTTCCTCTTCCAGTGTAAGGCTATCTCAGTTTCACACAGGTTACTTCCCTGGCTGTTTTTGCTGCAGTTGCTCTGGGTGTAGCTGTCAATCTTTTGGCTATTGCAGGTAATTACTGTTCTGCCAGTACATAGAGAGAGGATTCCTGTTTTCACTTACATTTCCTCATGTGGAGCAGATATCAGCACAATGAAGTCCTTGTGGCTGCTGGGTAGGGGTGTGTATGTGAGCAGAGACCATGTTTCCCTGGGAACCAAGGGATGTCCTGATGCCTGTGGGAAAATGTCCTGGGAATGATCATGATTCCTGGTGGGAAATCTGACTTGTTTGTTTTCTTTGTAGTGGAGCTTCTCCATTCTCTCTCCAACCCTTTTCCACGACATGTCTGGGTCAACTTGTATGTGAAACATTCAGCACACAGTCACCGGGATGATCTTACTGTAGTTTGGAATGAGAAGGACAAGGTACAGTAGCCCAGAGCAAACAAAGGTCAGGAGAATAACAGGAATGTCAAGAAGAGGCCTTTTTTTAATTAAAAAAGACACTTAGCAAGCAGGGAACTTGACTATAAGGCAAACTATCCCCCTTCTTGGATGTATAAAAAGTTCTGACTGTGAAAGATGAGCAGCTGATATTCTTGTAGGAAGTATTTTCAGGCTATAATATCTTTTTGTTTCAGTAATCCAACACCTTGCTGCTTAACCAAAGGTAATGAAATGCATAAGCTTCAAAGCACTGGGTAAAAGCCTCTGAGAGTAGGTGGGAAGAATAGCACAAAGGTCATGAAGCACCTTATGGACAAGGAAATAAAATCTAAGACAAGTGAGTGAGTGTGAGCATTAGCTGAGATTGAAAAGGATGAAGAACTCGTTGCATGGGTATAATCCTGGATTTTACCCACACAGAAGTGGACACATACCTTGCTTAACATTCAGCCAAAGCCATGGCTCTTTTGTATTTTATTCTTTTGCTCTCCTTATTAGCAAGACTGATAGACGTGGAACTGTTGGATCCAATCCCTGTTTTCATAAAATAAGCCAGGTCTATTTTTTAAAAATATCAAGAGTGAAAAAGACAGAACTAGGAGAACATAGAGTAGATTGATTTCCTGATGTGGTTAATTTGGGACACTTTTTTGACTTGCTCTTAACTGTGCTATCCTTACATGTACATCTGAAATGCAGCACCTTGGATAAGTATTACATTATTTTCTGAATAATGGAAAGATAGAAGACGTTGTATAAAATATGCTACCACACATAAACATAAATGTGGCTGCAAAGAGCATGGAATTATTTTATTTCTTTAAAAAGTGTTAAAACTACAACATTTATTTTAGCAGTTGTATAGAATGTATTTTTTACTTCTGCTTAAATTACCACAACTATCTAAATGCTACCACAATCTAAATTACCACAAAATTATTTTGCTCTCAACAGCATAACAGAATTTAGTTTCTGATAAAGCAAAGACTTTTTCTTGTGCTTTAACTTTGAAAGCTGTGTCTAATAATTGTGGCAGCGCAGCCCGCAGTGCCTAAAAATAAGACCAAAATTAAGCCTCAACAAACTTAAGCATTGTTCATGATTTGATGAAAATACAGAGAGTAGTTCTGCTTTGAGCTGTTCTATACAGGGAATTCCAGCAGCAAAAATTGTCCTAATTTGAACATTAATTTGCCTCACTTCTTCAGAAAGGACTTTATTGTGCACATAATTCACCTGAGGACAAGGTACAGGGAAATCTTGCTGGGTGCATGTTTGAGGTCAGTATGTGAGAGGTGTTTTATTTCACAAGTTCCTTTTCCATCTGTTGATATGGATCAGATATCAGTGTCATCTTCTCTGAAGTTTGGAAGACACCGGACAAGCTACAGAGCCACTGTTGCCCACCCATTTAATTACACTCTGAAGCAACTGGAGGTGCATTCCCTGTCAGAAAGAAGGGGCAGAAAGTACAACCAGCAGGTGAGATCATGAGACTGGGCTGCAAAACATGAGCTGTAATGCTGCATTTACTGTGAGTGTGCCTTTCCTCCCTGAGAACCACAGAACCAGAAATCATCCTGAAAAATGTAAAGAGCACTGAGTGCTCTTATCCCCTGGTGTCCAAATCACCAGCACTGTTTCCTAGCCAGCAGCCTTGTACTTTTGGCATTGACCCATTTTGGATGGGAGGAACCTAGAAATGCCCAGGAACCAGCCAAGCAATGAAAATGAAGAAAATTTTGTCCATAAAGCAATGAACAAACTCCTAGTCTGCACACACAAGAAAAACAAACAAAAAAATTCCCACAGTAAAACCAAACCAGAAACCCTTTGATACCCTGTGAAGAAAATGTAAATTTTTGGATTGTATAGGAAATTGCAACACAAATTTGAAAATGTGCCAGGCTAGAAACACTTTAAACTACAGTTGTGAAGTGCACTTGCAAAGCATATATAGGGGAAAAGAAGAGGAACTCCACAAATCATCTTTCAAGATCAACTACAGTATAATTTCTCTTTGACAATGCATAATGTTGGTCAGGACACTGCAGCTGCTGAGGCTGAAGACTTTCAGCAATAAGCTGGCAGCTGTGTGGTGTTTGTTCATCTGAAGCCCTTTGGTACTCTGTGGGGGTTTGCACAATACTCCTCAGTATGGTTCCAGAATTGTATTCAGAGGAATAAGTTCTCTTGTGGGGTCATTATTGCAGTGGTGCCAGTAATTGCTTTGCATGACAGACCCCAGACAGCTTCCAGAGAGGGTAACAAAAGCCTTCCATGGCCTTGGTTGTAGAAGTGCAGCTTCCCTGTGTTTGTCTCAGGCCCTGGAGCTTCCAGACCACAGAGTTCCATGGAGTTTGAACATGGATCTGTTTTCCTCCACTGGATGGGAATCATTCTGCTGGTTCTAGTCTTGCTGCAGGACAAATCCTTCTCTGCTTTCAGCTGCAGGTCTCAGGGAATGCTGGGGAGCCTGCTCACCTCCGGCTGGGCCTGGAGGATAAATCCAAGATGGACATCACTGCCTGGGGTGGCTGTGTGACACTCTCTGCAGGCCAGGTATGAGTCTTACATCCCTTAGAAGGGATGAGTGTAGCTGAATTTCTGTGTTTGATCCTCACAGAATGTTTTTTTTTTTTTATATGAAAGCCTTGAAGTCAACCTTTTTGTGCCTCAGAGAAAGAAAAATAAACTCTGTGAAAAATTCTGTTTCATGTTGCCAGACATGGTTGTACTTGGGCTGCAGCTTTCCCTCAGGACAGAGCTGTCAGCCCCTCTGTTTTTTTGGGAGAGACTGAAGCAGCGTTTCATGGGTGTAGACCATCCAGGGGCTCTTACAGGTTGTGGTTTTGCCCAGGAAACCTACTCCCCAAGGATATACTTTTTTAAAAAATTACTTATACGTGTCAATTTTTTCCACTTTTCCAGCTTCAGAGAATATTAAGCATGGAAAACCTGCATGTATGTGGGTCTCTAGAGCAAAGACCAACATTGTTTAATGAATATCTGGATTTGAACTGGGATGACAAAAAATTCAAACACAATTTCACGTATGAGGTAAGAGAAGGCAGTTGTATCTGTTGACTCACCATTTTTATGGAAGCTGTTCTCAGTAGATGAGAAATTATTTTGGTTTTACATGTAATGCTTAGTGGATTTTAAGAAATCTTCTATAGAGCACCATTTTTTTTAAGTATCATTATTTCACTTTATATTTTTCTCTATATGGAAAGAAAACTTAATAGTTAAGGAAAAAGGATTCTTATAAACTAAAGGCCTCACCTGTGCCCTAAATTTGCAAAACTTGTAGGCTGGAGACCAGTAACAAGACTGGTAAGCTAAAATATTGTCAAGTGGAAATGCTGTGTTTTGGAAATGTTACATTAAAATCCTGAAGCCGCCTAATCCAAAAGCCACCCCAGGGAGGGGATGAGTGGGCTCCAACGAGTGTTTATGATTCTGCTGTTATCTTTTAACTTTATTTTCTTGGTTCATTGCAGAGAAACCAACTCTTGTATCCTGACAAATTTCAATTAGAAGTGGTTCTGGAAAATATTTTCCTGACCCCATGTACCAAACAGAAGATTCTGGGTAAAATAGAAACCAACTACTGCTCTTGCCTGGATTACTACACAAGCTTTGAGTTCTGTGACCTTCCAAATGTAAGTCTGACATAAACACATTGAACCTACTTCAGTTGAAATGTAATTACTCATTTGGAGACTTAGTTCTCCTCAGCTGCAACTCTTCAGAAGACTTACCATACATCAATAACTTAAAAATAGACATTGTTATTTGATGGACTGAGGCAGAAAGGTTCTGTTTATCACTATAGTGTATTCTGTAGGTCCTTTTATGGCTGTAAACATTCTCACTTCCTCCATGTTCTTTCTTTCCTATTCCTCTTTCAGAAGTATGTTAATTTCATGTTTCTGGAGAATACCAAAACTGGCTTATAAGTGATCAAAAAGAAAACTAGAGAGGAGTAGAAGTGCTTTCCTTCCCCTGTGGTTAAGCCTGCTGGTTTTTATGATTGCTCTGCTGGTAGTGATAGATTTTTGAACTGTAATGTAACCTTATTTTTCTATTACACACATAAACTGAAGGCCCACCCATGACTTTTCTTAGGTGCATGCTGGTCCTCAGAGTTGCTTGTAGACACTCACAAACACAGAACTTGGAACCTGCAATAGATGTCTCTCTCTCCCCAGTTCCCAGTGGTTGAAACATATCTTGGTTTCCTTATTTACTGTCAGAGCAGATCACACTCTGTTAGCAACAGGAAAACTTTTTGTCAGACCAAGGTGTGATAGAACCTGTTTATAATGCATAGGATGTATATGCATGTCACTCCAAAAACAGGTGCCTCTGTATTTTTGGATCATTCTTTTCAAAGGCATCATGGTTTAAGCCCAGCTGGAAATTAAGCACCACAGCCACTCAGCCCCCTCTCTCCCTCCCCTCTCCCTGTGGAATGGGAAGGACAGTCAAAAGTAAAGCTTGTATGTTGAAGTAAGAACAGTTTAATAATTGAAAACAAAGTAAAATACAATAATAATAGTTAATACTACTATTAATTATAATGAAAAGGAAAAAACTAAATGAAGTGATGCACAATACAATTGCTCATCACCTCCTGCCCAATGCCATACCCCGCTTCCCAAACCCAGATTTGCCCCTTCTGGGTAACTCCCCCCAGTTTATTACTGGACATGATGTTCTGTGGTGTAGAATATCCCTTTGGACAGGCTGGGGCACCTGTCCCAGGTGGGCTTTTGTGCACTTTCTTCCTGGCAAAGCAGGAGAGAAACACAAAGAAAAGTCTTTGACTTAGGGTAACAACTCAGCAAAACCAAAACATCAGTGTGTAACCAACCCCATTCCCATTCTGAATCCCAAACTGTACCAGCTATTGAGAAGAAATTAACTCTATCCCAGTTGAAATCAGGACAACATTCACCTCACCTCCCATGTATCCCCCAACTTTATCAAATCATCTGGTTAGAGTAGCTGAGAAGTGTAGGAGCAAAAAAAAATTGGATATTTTAACAAAATAGAGTTCTCTGCAACTGCTTCTCTGCTCTTAGGGTGTAATCACTGAACATACTTTGTTAGAGCACAGAAACTGGAGATGTAATGAAGACAGTGCTGTGAAGAGCAGGAGGATGTGCTGGGTTCTGAAACTACAAGTTTTTGTTCCTGGTGCATTTCATGAGAATGCTGCCACTGTATAGCTTCTTACTACTCAAAGCAGAGCCCATTTGTTTGGAATAATTTGGAAGCTTTAACACCTTTTCTGTGAATACTCAGGTAATTGTTTTATCTGGAAAGCACCAGCTCAACAAAGATGACATAATTTTGCAGTCAGAGGGCAGATTCCACCTTGCTGATCACGGAAAAGATGAGGGGTTGATTGGAATATCCATAAAGAATCAGAGCACTGCTGATGTGAAGAACTACTCTCTGGAAATTGAAGTGAGTTTTTATTTTATTTTACTGACACTGGGGTTTGGTTTTCAAAGGCCTGCTGCCATCTATCTCCCAAACAGATCAGGCACAGTCAGTGACTATAAAGCAGCAGGCAACACAAAACACTCCTGGTTTCTTTAGTGCTGTCTCTAAAGGAACAGTTAGGCAGTGTCCATGCACTGTGACCAACAAAGCAAGGCACCAACATTAGTTCTCTGTAGATCTGACACAAATAAAACGTGTTTCTAGTGGAGGGTAGAAGTTTTAAGTACTGTTATAACTCCCCTTCGGCATGACTGCTCAGTTGAGTGAGGTATGGAGTTTTCACCTCATCAGAAGAAAGAGGGAAACAAAATAAAATGTTTACACAAAGCATCAATTGCCAGAAAAAAAACCTGGCAAAAAAACACCTAAAAAAGGCACAGAATAGCTCATATGTTGCTTATTCTGAGATAAATCTCTCCCTTTTTCTCTCCCTTTCCCCCCTATTTTGCATTTGCTTTTAATTTCCTGTGACATTAATATGGTGGAGAGGCAGATGGAGACAACAGAGTGGGGCGAAAAACTAATGGGATCGGCACCATCCAAACTCACAATTAGCAGGAATGTGGGTAGTCAGGCACTAACTGAGACAATAGATCATCCTTTAACAAAATTATGATGATGATTTAATCAGTAACAAATACTAACTTATTTTTCCGTTCCTCTGTCTTTAGAGAGGAGGGAGATGAAAAGCTGCTCTGCATGAGCTTGCTATTTTTTGGAATAAATGGTACAAATTAGCAGCCTCAGAGAGAACTGACTGGGACATAATGTTTCTTTCATTGCTTCCATTAAAATTTTGTCCACAAGCCTCATGCTATCCAGTTGTTCAGCTCCTGGTCTAATCATGCTGATGCTTGTACCTCTCTCAGTGTAACTCCTGCACAGTACACAAACACTGGGAAACATTTCTCTCACCACTTACCCTTTTGTGGGAAGCACTGATATTTGAGCACCATCTCTGAATGATAATTAATTCTGTGTGGTGGCTTTGAATAAATGTTTTTCCTTTATGACTGCAGTTAACAGCCTTTGAAGATATTTGGCTAGGCCTGACAGGAACTGCTGCTTCCTCATCTGTCCAGAGCCAAATCCTGGTGGAGGGGATTATTGATCAGAAAGAGAAAGTAAAAGTCGCTGCTTCAAAAGGAAAGGAGTGTTTTCACTACTACATGGGGCATCTGCAAGGTATGTACCTCACTGACCATGCTCTCAGCCATGGGACTTAGTTTTAGGTCATCCTGCAAAGAGCAGGGAGCTGGACTGGATGATCCTTATGGGTCCTTTCCAACTGGAGCTATTCTGTGGCTCCCAGTATCATCGCTATGAAGAGAAAGGAAGAAAGGCTGTGTCTTTAGCACTGAGCTAGCTCAGTTCATTCAAGCTATGGTCTTTCAGATAAAGAAAAGCTGAAGCATAAAATTTGTTACAAGGGTGAGTTTGGGAGACATTTTTGTATGATTACAATATATGGTAAGAAAATCTAGGATTAAAGTTTTTTGCCTTGTTTAAGATAATCATTACATTCCAAATTCAATAAAGGAAGTGAGAGAGGCACCTCCAGAGAGTGACTGTCCACATGCTGGAACAGCTGTATGAACTGGGATGTGTGAAGTAGGATGTGTGCAATCACTGGCTGCAGGGGATTGTCTCACAGCAGTCAGCTCTGACAATAGAGAGGGAAAAAAGGCTAAAAAAAGGTTCAAGTTGTGCCTAAATTCTAGATGAGTAAAGTGAGGTGAAATGAGCTGGAAGAGGTGGGGCTCATCTACATTTCAGCTACATTAGAGCTGGGTGCAAACCAAATAAATTCGGTGATATCTCAGTTGTCTCAAACTCATGTTGCTGACAGTCCCAGCCCTTGTTTCACTTATGGCTTTGCCATTCCACACTTCTGCAGGGGAGTTTCTCTCAGGTTCAAGCCCTCACTTCTAAGTCCTATAATGTTTTTGAGATTAGGACCATTAGTTAGTGAATCACTGAAGTCAGAAATTTGTAGAAATTGCTTAGCCCCCTCAACACAGATTCTACATGAACTTTGCCAACTTTGCATTTTGTTTATGCTCATCAGTGCTTCATCAGTTTCATCAGAGTAGAAATGACTCGCTCGCGTGCGTGCGTGCGTGCGTGTGTGTGTGTGCGCGTGTGTCTGTGTGTGTGACATGAGTAGAACTGAGAGGCTTTCATTTAAGGGCTGAGCAGTTTTCAGACATCGGCAACAAGGGACATTAAGTACTTAAGCAGAAAAAAAGGCCTGTAAATCAGTGTGACCTGTGAGAGATTTAGATTTACATTAATCCACTGCTTCCTTTGCAGTAGCAAATCTGTATTTGTAGTTCATTGACAAGCCACACAGAAATCAAATTGTGACATTGATCTCATTGTCTCCTGTTTATATCTTCTGTTTTGTTTTTTTTTCCTCCACACCTAACACGCTCAGACTCTGATCACCTAAGTAGTTAAAGGCTGGCTTTGAAACAATGTCTGTCAGTGTTGTTCCTGTAAATGAAGGGCTCCCTTTTCATTCCTTAAGGGGATTTGGAAGAAGGAGTGGAACTTAGTGCTTGTTCTGATGGGCAACAGATGGCTGCCATTAACACGTATCTCAGCATCAATGGTAAAAGGCAGGAAAACGTGGGACAAGTGACTCTAGCAGCTGCTAATGGAAGCTTGAGTTTTCTGGCGCATGGATGTGGGGATCCAGTTCTTAAGGTTGAGGTGAGACCCTTGAATGGCTGTTAACTGCAGCGTGATTTTCTCACAATATTATTTGATTTTGTAATTTTGATGGAGCACCTTCCGTGTAGGCTCCAGGTGTGAATTTTGGTAAGTAACCAGGCAAAACTATGAAATGTTTTAATTATTTTCACGTTGATATAAGAAGTTACCACGGTGAGAATTAAGAAGTTCAGCCATGCCTAGAGATAGAAAATACAGGACCCTCTTCTAAAGGGAGGATCCTCTGAGGAGGGCAAGTAAATAAAGTGACAGCACCAGTAACTGCTCAGCGTGTTGGTTACAAAACTAATGATTAGAATCCTGAACGTGCATTCACTTTTGGTCGGGTTTCACATACTCTCTACTTGGGGAACGCTTTTTATCATCTGACTTTTCTGTTCCCTTTTCTGTCCATTGAATAATGCAGAAGTAGCTTCCCTTAGGAAATGTGAGGCCACTGTGGGTGTTTGCCAGCATTTAAATTAGTACACACTTTTGAATCCAGCACAAGCAATTTTAAGTAATGAATTCTTACAGAACAAGCTTAATGAAATTGGGAGCCTTTTGAAAGCCACACTGATAGAGAAGATAAAGAAGTTTGATGGATACCTGTGGAGATTCAGGAGATCAGTAAGTATCTGTACATGATCTATGAAAACACCATGAAGTGTTCATGCAATGTTAATTAAACATCATTATATTGCCTGCAGCTGTTTTGTTTTGCTCAAACATTTCAGTGATTACTCCTGTGCTGACCTGTAACTCATACAGAGACAAAAAACACGTTTAATGGAGTTCCTGTATCTCTGCACTAACGCTGCAGAGTCAGAATTACCTCGCAATGAAATCAAAGCTTTGCTTGAGATCACTGTGTGTTTTGAAATTGCTTCTTTTTTGGAACCACTGTAGGTGCAGCATGTTGGTTTCCTGTCTGAAGCAGCTGGCTGGCCTTCAATGGCCTTGCAAAAGGCAGCAGGATTCCTGCACAGTGCGGGTACAGCTGTCACCCAGGTGTGGAAGCAAAGTGGAATCAGGCACATTCTGAGAAACAGGATCCCACTTTACCTGGAGAAAATTCAAGATGTTGTCCAGCAAATGCAGAATGAATTACAAAGTAAGCAAAACTGTGCAAAGTAAGAATAGGGACAATGTCAGTGCAGGGCAAACCAAACTTCATTGTAAACTATAAAACATACTGAACAACACAAAGGTTTCTATTTTTATTGAGCAAGAAGTGCTGACCTTGGCTCTTTGTGTACAGAGTGGGAGCCTTGATGCAATAAACTCTAAGAGGGCTCTGTGTGAGCACCTTTTTAATGAAATCAGGGGTGAGGCTTTTTCTCGGTTGCAGGACGCTGGGTTCCATTGGATGAGAACAGAGTCCTTAATTCCTAAACTGAAGTATTTTTGCTAACAGTTCCCTGGCAGACCTTTCCTCCCGAAGGGCTGTTCATATCCATCCTTGAGGTTTTAATGCTTGTACTAATTGGATTTCACTTGATCTGGTATTTTCCAAGCCTATCCAGTAGCCACTAATTCACTGTTCAGCTGGACTGTGGCCCATACTGAAACCTTTGAGAAATGTGGTCAGCTGGAATTAGCTGCAAAAACCTTCAGTTCTCACACAGATAAAAACTCGCTTAGGGCCACTTAGCTGTAGACTCTTCCCACTCAAAAGCTGAATTTGGTTGGTATTAGTGCTTGAAACCAGTTGTGACCAAACTATCCTGTTGCTCAGCAGGAGCAGTCTGTGCAGTACTGCTGGGGACACATCGCAGAGCATCCTGTACACTCCTTTTGGACAGCAACAATATATTTATTTATAAGGGTGTCAGGGTCAGAGCTAAATGGCTCTCAGTTCATAGCTGTACAATGTGTCTGACTGCCATGCCTCTTCCACTTTTCTGTGCTCCTCCTTCACTTATGCTGCAAGTTGGGTGGAAACAAACAAGCAAATAGCCACTTTGTACCAAACCAGCTAAGGTTTGTCTCATTTAATGTGTTTGCTTCAGAGCCATTAGCAACTTTGAAGGACGCCTACTACGATATAACCTTGCAGCCACTAGATGAAGTCTGGAAAGAGAAGACAGAAGAGCTCATGAAGAAAATCCAGGCTTTCTTACCCAAGATTGTAAAAGATGTGTGGTTAATGGAACCAATCCAGGTGGCATTAAAGGTTGTCAAAGCAGGCTTGGATATGGTTGGTATAACTCACTTCTCCATTTCTAATGGTTTGAAAGACAAGGCATACAAATTTAAGTCTTAGCTTTGACCTATGGATACACCAGAATAGTTAACTAGTTTTGTTCATGGAAATAGTGCAGTTATCTTTCCACATAATAAGCTTGTGCACAGCCAATTTACTATTCTTGCAATATTTGTCCTGCTTTGAAAGACTACTTTTCCAGCTAGAGGAGAGGTTGTTTTACTAGTTCTGGTTGAAATCACAGCAGCAGTAATCTGTCATTCACGTAACTTTTACTTTTCTTTCATAGAGAGGAGAAATTGTGATTCCAATAAATAGTGCACAAATAAATCAGGGTTGTTCTAGTTGAAATGAAAAGCATAAAGGATATATCAGGAGGCTAATTTATATTATTAAAGATACCAGTCCCTTCCAAGCTACAGAAGCACATTAACTTAGTGAAGTATTGTTACACTTTAAATCATGTTATTTAGGAAGAATATATTCCTGTCCATTATTTCTTGGTGTTGTGACTAGAATCTGTCCTCTGAATATTAACCCTCTATGTGACAAGACGCTGTCAGGCATGAGATGAATGCAAGAGACACTAAAGTGGTATTTCGCACTTGATTTAGAACTCATTTGCCATTACTGACCCTGCCCTGAAGCCATACTGAAACTGCTTTTATAATCTGTAACTCTCCAACAGGCTACACAGCAGGTGCTCAGATGGGCAGATGCCACGTTTTCCAGAGCTGTGAGTAAGATCCGGAAGCCCTTGCTGAACCTGTACAGTTTTTCACCCAGGTAACTGGTGTTTTTGCAGGATCCCTGCTCTGGGCAGTGTTCTAAAAGGATATGTGCATAGTTACTCTTCCTGTCAGTGTGCAGCTGAGAGTGCTGGACAGCCACCCAGCAACTCTTTGCTTTGGTCACATCACATCCTAATGTTTATTTCTGTTGGCTGCTAGGCCCACTGTGTTTGAAAGGAGCTACTGGGCAGCAAACAAGGCATCAGTAACTGGTAACTGGCCTGAGATGGCCTGGAGCAGCTCTTGGCCAGAGTAGGGTTGTGTTTTGCTGTTCTAACCAGACTACAGTTCTTATTTCACTTCAACATTTCTAATAATAAAGCAACAGCATTTCATCAGTTCAGCAGATAAGGGGTGTTCTGTTTGTATTCCACAGGAACTGTTCAGTGGCAGGAAAGCTGCCAGTACTGCCTAAAGCAGACTTGTCCCTGCAGCTGGCAAATGTTACCACTTACCTCATTGGAGAAAAACTGATGAGGCCTCTGCAAGACCTCTACAATCTCAACATACTTGCAGAATACTATAAGTTCAAACGGAGGATGATGGAGAGCCCCTTTGAATGTGAGTCCTTTCAAAGTGCTGCTTTGTTTTGTATCTGGGTCTATTTCCACTTAGTTCTTAATTTTTAAAATTGTATTTGGAATAGGAGTTTACATAGAGATGGTTGCTAATTAATAATTTTCCTATCAAAATACATATAGTCCTTCTTGTAATATAGTGATGGTATGTATAAGATCAACACTCTAGGCAAAGCTGACATGCAGTAACACTGCTCTATTTAATATTCATGCAAATTTTGCAACTCTTTACACTTCCTACTCTTGAGACTAGAAACAGCAGGTGGTATTTATCTGCCTTACCCATATGCTCCTGTGAGCTGATACTATGGTTTGCTGCCAGTCACACCTGTTGGCTGTGTCCTGGTACAGAGGCTTGGAAACTGGTGACTTCATCTCTGCTGCCTCTAAGATGAGCAAGCTCAGCCCTACCAAAACTTCAGCGACAGTACTGCCTGTAAAAGAATTGCTAAATGCTAAAGGAATGCACTAACAGTCCCTTGGAGATAACTGCTTTTCCAGAAAACCCTTTTAAATGGTTTCCTCCCAGTATGGAGAGACACGACAGAGGGCTGTGAAAGCAGGTCCTGGTGACCCAGTAATCTGAGTCATGTATCAGCACGGGTTCCTGGACTGCAGCTGTTTGATGCACTGGTTTGGAAGGGACGTTTTTGGAGACAATTTTGGAGAATTAATATTCTTGTGTTTTCTGCATAAGAATGTATAATGAGTGTCTGTGTTTATAAATATGACTGTCAAATAGTACAATGACAAATCAAAGAGCTTTGAATCCCAGTTCAAGTTTATCAAAGGTTTATGGCACTGAGGTAAATCTGTAACAAAAAATAAATCATTAAATAGTTTTGTTTCTGAGGTTTGTTGCAGAGCAACTACAATGTAACTAATTAAAATGTAAGTGTAGTAATATCAGTGTAATAATAAGTTGAGAAATTACTTTAAGAGTATGCCAGCAAGAAGCTGTGTGTGTTGCAGTATGTGTAGCATTTACTGCTCTGTGGAAAAGTCACTGATATTTCTTCTGAAATACCATTCTCCAGATCATGCTATGTTAGTGGGGACCAAGCATCTTGTGACTTTTGATGGAAAAATGTATGATTTGGCATCAAAGTGCAGTGTACTTCTTGCCAAGGATTTTGTTCACAGTGCTTTCACTGTAATACTAAATGAGGAAACTAGGAACTCAAGATCACTGTATGTGGAGATGAACCAGACTGTGATCACTATCTACCCACGTCTAAAGGTAGGAAGATGAAGTCAAACATATTTTATTTTTGGAAAAAAATTTCTTCAACTGACCAAAAAAGTAAGTTTTTTAAATATTAACACTCAAAACATAGATCAGAAGCACCCTCAGGCAATGGCTTTAAAGTAACCACTTCTTAAAAAGAAAATACCTCTCCAAAACACAACCAGTTTAACTCAAGGGCTGCCTCTTTGCTCTCTGTGTATGACAAATTTTCAACTTTCCTCTGATATGGTCTAAGAAAACAGCATTGAGAGGATGCTTTGTGCTGTCTGCTCTTTCAGAAGTTTAACACAACCCTGTTCTTATTGCCTTAACTCTGGGCTAAGTTGGCCTCATCGCACCTGCAAATCCACTGTGCTTGCCTGTGACTGAACTACAACAGATTTGAAACTGCATTCTCATTTTAAAACAGATATCCAAGATGTATAACTTCTCCTCTGTGGAAGAGAACTGCCAAGTCCTGGATCAATCCCTTGAAAACAGTACCATGAATTCCAGGCGAGGAACCAACAAAATCGAAGTATCTGATCAGAAAGGAGTTTCTGTGTCTTGTGACTTTCAGTATGATCTCTGTACTATCACTCTGGCTGGGTGGCACCATGGTGAGTATTAATCATACAGCTGTTGTCAGCTGTTACTCATTTTTGCTGTCTCTCAATTATCTGTATTACTGGTAGCACCAGCATCTGTGCTTTCTCTTGCTTTTCCCCTCTTCATTTTTAGACACTCTGGAAATGGCACCAGGCATTCCCAGTAATTGCCAAATAGAGCACAGAATGCACCATTCCAGGGAGAGGAGCAAGTTTTAGTTACTGTTAATTCAATGCAATAAAGCAGGCAGAAATCAGAGGTACTACAGTCAGCCCAGCTCCAAACCCTGGTTGAGAATCTGCTCTAGAGCAGGCTTACCTCGTCAGACCTGCAAGACAACTACAGAGGGAGGCCAAAAACCTCACAGGGTTTTTTGGCATACTTGGAATGCAGTCAATGTACTATCCCTGTACCCCACATTATTCTGAAAGTCACCTCCCAAAGATTAGCAGAGAATGGATCTGATGCCTTGATATGCTCAGAAGCCCATGACCAGCTGAGACATGAGATGGCAAAGCAGGCTGGGCAGCTTCCCGTCTTCCACAATAGAGCTGAGCTCTGCTGGACAGAATAATCAGAACCCAGAGACAGCTGCTGTAATTTTCCTGCACCTACTAACAACTCCTATTTTACTCCATTTCAATTTCCTTCCAGGTATTTCAGCTGGGCTTTTTGGTACCAATGATAATGAAGCTGGAAACGAATGGATGGTGCCTAATGGTTCCTTCACTGACAACGTGCAAGAGTTCACACAGAGCTGGCAGGTAATGCGCTGAGGAGCTCCAGTGGGCAGGGCTGCTGAGCACAGAGTGCACTGTAAGACACACTGGGTTGGCTTAGATAAATAAAGCTCAACAGTGAAAACAGCAGCACACTACATTGTTTTTCTATGTCTAATCAAGGAAAAGGTTGCACATATTTGCTAAAAACTGTTCAAGAATTCCCTATAAATAGGCTTTGAATATTTTTGGCCTAGGTGGTAAGGTAAAACCATAGAAGTGGCTGCTGCTAGTTTTAGAAGAAATTGATATTGGAGCCAAGTATCTTTGATATCTTCCTCCTTAGAGCACCTCTTCCTGGAATGCAGGTACAGGTGCTACAGGATAGGTCTGGGCCAAATCTGTACATTTATCACTCAGGCCACAGTTTGAAGTTCTCTTTAGAGCTGGTAGTTCTAGCTGGGGCAGTTGAGCCTGTTTGTTCTTCATATTTTACATCTTATCAATAAAACTTCAGAAACAAGTAACTACTAAATTTGTTCTCCATCCCCTCACCACTAAATATTCAGACCATTTTGGAAGGTTAGCTGCTGCTCTCAGTCACTGATGTACATAAAAAGACTCCTGTAAGTATAATAAATGTAACAATTTTATACCAGTAAAATTATAGCTCTGCTTAATTCATATACTCTGTCATCAGCTGAAAATAATCTAAATACACAAACATGCAGTTGTACAGAACCATTTGTGAATGCAATCAACCAAGAAAAGCAGCCTTAACATGCTCTCAAGCCATGTTGCCAGGATCCTCTAAATCCCTTCCAAGTCCAATTTTAAGAACCTATTAACAAAAAGAAAAGGAACCAGCATCTTATTACCACAAAGATTTTGGGACTCTTCCATTTATCCTATCTCACAGAACATGTCTGAGTTCTGGGAACAGAAATCTCATTTTCAGCTTTATGTCAGTACTTTACTGTAAAAGAGAACTGTTTCAAGTGTCTTGTACTTGCTGTTGCAGAGATAGTTAATGAGCTTGCAGTCTATGTTTATGTTAATAATGGAGCAGGATCACAATGTGACTGATCATAGGCACAATTTTCTTAATTGCTACAAATATTAACTTCTGATATATTCATAAAAATGCAAAACTCCCCAGGGACATTGAATGAAAGAGTCAGTTAAAAGCAGTACATAAGAAACTTAGTGCCATGTAGAAGCAGGGCAGTCCCAAGTGCCCTTCTTTAGGGGCAGAACGGCTGCACTTGCACTGTTGATTGGAAGGGCTCACACTGACTGTGAACTCTGACTGCAGCTTGCTCCCAGGAACTTTGTCACAGCCTTTGTCATGCACTGACACTGCAAAGGACGTCAGCAGAGCTCCACCACCACAACGCAGGGCTGCACAACAGGAGGGGACTGAGTGTCTGACTCCTGCAGGATGAGGCTTAGCATAGAGTAAACTTCCAGTTCATTTTTCTTAGCAACTAAAGTAACTGCAACTTACACTTGCTTAAAGAACTTGGTGGTGTGGTTTAGTTGTTTTTTTTGTTTTTTTTTAAAGCCACCTTTACCTATGAATAATCCAGCAAGGGTGTGAAGATTTTTTTTTCTCCATCAGAAAGATCTAGTAAAACAACTTTGACCTGTCAGACCTATATAAAAGAGAACTTGCCAACTACCTGCTATGTCAGCAACTAAACACTAAAATCCTTCAGTGAATAACAGAATCAATAGCAAAAGGAAACAAGGTCTAATCTGCAAGGTGCCTCTCAATATTAATGAAGAATAAACATTAGAGCAGGGTACTGAACTGCCCATATCATCCTTCAAACCAGCTCACACTGGAAATCTGAAGAATTCATTCTACCCCGATGTATGCAAGAAATCCCCAAAATACACCAACTTCAGTAATTATGTTTTCCCAGGTGAGTAAGTGCAGTCTCGTACCGAAGAAAGAGAAGCCATGTCCAATTACAGCTAAGCAGAACATCTGTAAAGTGTTCTTTGAAGAACCACATTCACTTCTTAGGAACTGCTTCAAAGTTGTAAGTAGAACTTCAGCCAGAAGCACTGTCTTAATTATGTGTCATATAGAAGTTTAGTTGCAGAGAACTTTAGAAGTAATCAAAAAAGCAATCCAGACAGAAAAAAAGGTATATAAAATATATAAATATAAATGGAGGTTTTTGACCTCCATGGAGTAGTGGCATGACTGCACTGCTCTTTAGGATACAGGTCTAGAATTTGGAAACAGAAATATCCTCCTTGCTGTTATGAAGGGAATAAAAGTTTATGAATGGTCCTAACCAGGCAGAGGGGAGGGGACACAATCCAAACCCCTGGGTTTACCTGCAGGTCCCCCTGCTCCCCTAACCCACCCCTTTGTGCCCAGGTGGAGCCCGAGCCATTCTACACCATGTGTACACAGGACACCTGTGACTCCCCGGCCTTGGGGGCTGCCTGCACTTTAGCAGCAGCTTTTGTTCATTTGTGCAACCGGAATTTTGTCCCTGTGGAAGTCCCTCCACAGTGGTAAGTTTCATTTCTTTTACCACCTTGAATATTCTGACTGCATTACTCCAGTACTTACATGTCTGTAATTCAAGGAGACATGAGAAAATAAAACTAATGAATATGACTGTGGCCATGAGCAAAACAGATCCTATTCCCAGAAATGTTCTTGCCTCTTGGCAACCTCCCCTTCCTGCTGTTCACTCACCAGCACGCCACAGCCCATCCACTGCACACTCTCTACTGCCTTTCTTATTTTGTCCTAATATGCTGTGTAACAGAGGCAGAAGGACACCTGCAGAATACTGTGTGATGTTCCCAGGAGTTTCTCCTCTTGGATACTATTTCTGGTTCCATCTTTTTTTGGTCTGAATAATGCATTTGGATTCATATTACAACAAAACATATACAGACACAAAATACTCAAGAGACTTATTTTTGTACTTTTCAGTCTCTAATAATGAAACTTATCTATCTTTTCAACCTAAAATATCCAGATTATCAATACTTGCAGCTATCATCTAGATTGCACTGTTAAGTGGATTCCTGGAATATAGCTAAGGAAGATGTAAAGCCTGAACAGTAGCACTTGCCTGAAATTTTTATAATTACAATCTTTTCCCACTTCTGTAGTTATTGGGCCAATTTGTGCATTCCAAAGTGATTTGAGTTCCATCATTGATACTCTTGCCCAAGTAGTAACTCACTGTATTTTTTAAAAGACTGCAATGGAAACATTTACACCAAGTAAGTGGCAGAATCACGCAGAAGACCTAATTATGCTTTTGCTTGAAATGAAGCACATGGATTTATTCCTTTTATGCTCCATGCATAACTGAGGCTTAGTAATGAAAAAACGGTGGGGTTTTTAATATATGTAATGAAATATTATTTATTTGCATTTGTAAACTCACTGCTATCTCAAAGGAGTGATTTGGTGACTACAAACCCATTTGTGGTGTGCCTTAAAGAATTTACAATTATTAGCTGATTTCTTACCCATTAAGGAAGGGAGTAGTGTTTGTAGATGGGTCTGTTGGCCATGAAATAAAAACCTAGACGAAGTGATCACATCACACTTCCACAGGCTGAAGCACTGTTGTGTGTCAGTATGTGCCTGAGCTGTTCAGTTCACTCAGCTCTTACGCAGTGGATGATCAGGACATTTCTGGGTAGCATCTTATAGGTAGTGAGTGGTTTTAGCTCCAGTAGTTATATCAACACTTCAACATATAAATATGAAATGCAGAGATAAATTTCATTAAATCTAGAACACAGACTATTCAGTTGAAAATAAAGTTTTAGAATAGCTTGGTAGCTGAATGATTGAAGTCAGCTAGTGCTGCTAGTTTACATTATCTCATTCCTGAGGAAAAGGGTTGGAATGAAGGTGGATCACAAACTCAGTTAATGAGAAAATGCCATTAAAGAAGCAAAATAACATTGGGGATGTACACATGAATCAACATATTTAAGACAAGAAATACTTCTCTATTTAGGTTAAGTATCCAGTTTCGGACAGTATGTTTTGCTTAAATTGTGAGCAGGTTGAGAACAGTCCTGGGGAAAAAATGGAAGGCTTGAGGAAAGACATGAGTTAAGTCTCTAAATATGTAAACACTGTAAATAGAAGGAAATTGATCAGACCAAACTAAGGGAGAATTAGGTTTGACACAGTGAAAGACTCTGTAATGGTTGGGTTTCTCATGCACAGTATCGGATAACCAGTGACAGTCATGAGAGCAAAACAGAAAGTGGCTGTCAGCAGAAACTACCTCTGCACTATTTCTCAGAAATTCATGCTTGGCAAGTATCTTCCATTGAATAGATGAACTCACAGACCTCATAAACTTCAGAAATAATGCTGCCCTTTTCCTCCTAAATGTGAATTTTATCAAATATGAGAGAACCTTATTAGTGATTTAAGATCACTACTGTAATGTGTTTAGATATAAAACTGTATCTAAAACACTGGAGTACCTTCCCCAAAATTTTTTGATGTCATAAATATATCTGATGCTATTTTCCCTTCAGATATTTTTGTATTTCACTGTAATAAGAGGCTGCACTTCATGTGACTTGTACTTACCTACCACTTACCTGGACTTCATCTCTTCATTTCAGCTCGAGCCAGTTCTGAAGGGCAGATACCAGGGCCCTGAAGATGGAAGAACCCTTTCAGCACTCAGAACATTTATTTTAGGTAGACAAGCTAGAGGCAAAAACTCGGAGAGAATAATAGAAGCGTGAACATCTTAGTGTTAACTGTGAATATAATGAAGTATATATAGTATAAAAGGAAAGCTTTCCACTCAGAACCCCTGACGGCAAGGGGAATTACTTCAGTATATTGACAAGAAACTATAATCAACCAAAAGAAATTGGACATGAAACTATCAGTTACTCTAAAAAAATTCTTTCATTTGGTGGCAAAATTGCCTTTCCACAAGCCTTGAACCACAGCAAAAATACACTGAAAAGCTGAGAAAAGCTCTCTTCCAGCTCAGATTAGTGTAAGTGGACGACTGAAAGCAGCATCATCAGCTTGGAGTCAGCAGAGATGCTGACTTCTTTTTTCTCCAGAAATGAAATTCCACTGTTCAGCGGTTCTGGAGAAAATTATCTATCTTTTTTCCAAGGAAGTGCTCCAACACACAAGAAGGCTAAGATAGAAATAAGATGGGTAAATAATGGAAAGCAGTTAATCATTGTTCTCATTTTTATGCTGGTTGATTTTTTCCCTTATTAATGTACTCACTGCTAAATGAGAAACAGGCTTCTTGGTTTCTGTGCAGCAGTTTCACATTTTCCCTTTGTACCACTAGAACCCCCTTGGCAGCAGTCAGTTGATGTGTTGGGAAAAGGTGACCAATGTCTACCCTACCCATGAAGTAATGTTAGGGTGTTATAGCTACTCTTGTGTGTGAGAGTCCCACCTGTTAAATCCCTTTCTGTATTGTAGGTCACTTGATTTAAAAAGTGCATTACCTTTCTCCACACAGTGCCTGGAATGCAGCTATTGGTAAAGGTAACACTGCAAAATCCATCCAGTGTCTTTGCCTAATATGCAAACTTTGAAATAATGGTATTCTGTACTAAGATATCATGCTAATAAACATTTGACTGCCTTATTTTTACGCTGGACTACATTTTTATTGATTATTCATAACAACAAAAGTTGTACTGACCTGGACAGTTGGAACTGGAAGGGTTTGACTGGCTCACAGACAAAGCAAGCAGCTGCCTCTTATCTCCTTTATGATGCTTGCAGCTGTACTCACTTTCTTAACACTTACTCTCTAGCTTGATACCAATTAAAACATGATTCCTGCACTAGTTAGGAAAAAATCTTGCAATTTTTAGGATTCCCACACACATCAGATGCTAAAAATCAAGTCTTCCTCTGTAATAATTTTATACCTGCACCCTTGTAAAAAGCCAAAATTGTATGAAATATTTCTGGAAGTTAAAGAATATTTATACCAGTTACTGATTAAAAAACCACAGAATTTTCTCCCCAGTCACTGAATATCATGTCATATCCCAGCTAAGCACACCAAGCACCTCTGAAAAAAGTCCTGTGGTGAGTTTCAGGAACAAAGAAAAACATCAGCAAGTAGAGGAAAAGATTGAGAAGAGCTTCGTCAGAAATACAGGAATTTAACTAAATGCTAACTGCAGACAGCAACACTGAGATGGATGCACACACCAGGTCTCCCCTAAAAGCTGCATGTAATGTTACTTGTAATAAAGAAACCATTTAACTGCCAATAAACATTTTTAACTGCAGCCATTTCACTTAGCCCAGTTGTTTGGTATCTCTGGGCTCCTTCCCAGGTTCTCTGTGCACACAGTTCCTGCCTAAATACTCCTTAGAGTCAGGAATTCCCAGAGCCCTGGGACATGCCCCAAGCCCTGAAGCTCAGCAGGAGCCCCGCTCTGACCCTAGAGGCACAGGCCAGCTGGAAACCTCACAGACCCCCTGGGCTGGGCTGGACACCCACTGACCCAGAGCACCTTCCTGCACACATGTACAAGACATCACTTACACTGAGCAGGGCTAACAGAGGTTAACATCAGGGGAGAGGGTAAAAAAATACCCAAAAAGAAAAAAACTCCAAATGACTCCACACTTAAAGGAAGTGTTCCATGTCATAAACTGGAGTTTATACATGACAGCTATGAATTAGTGCTAGTCTTGTCTCTGTGTTTCTGCACTGGCAGCTGTGCTTTGCTCCCTGCCAGACTCTGCTGTTAATTCAAAGGCCAGTGCTCTGTCACACCTGTTCACCAAATACCTGCCCATAAACACAGCAGTGTCACAGGCCACAGGGTTCTTTGACTGTACTGTGTAAACCCTTTAACAAACCAATAAAACCATTCAGCCAAACCGTCTTTAAGTATGCCTTATGTACTGCATGGTAATGTCTCATCTGGGGAATTAAAAAATGGAGCCAACCCATCACCCTCCTGCCTAACAGAAGAGAGACGGCAGCTCCTATCAGCAAACACACCACCAGAGTGACAGGGGATGTGGGGAAGCCCACTGCAGGTGTGCCAGCTCCATCCAAAACAGCCCTCAGGCCAACTGAGAGTCCTTTGCAATTCCTCGTGGATGTGAACCTCTGGAAAAGAATCATCTTGGGAGGGTTTGACTGAAGCATTTATCAGATCAATCCCTCAGCTTCAGTACTTCAAAACTGGCTTTTTTTCTCTGCACTAGCCCTGGCTTTAGCAGGACTAAAATTTAGTAGATAACTACTAGCAACACTGCACATTATTGAGCATCCTGACTGAAGTAATCCAAAGTGTTTATGCCTCAGATGCTAAATGCAGTATACCAACTATGCTGCCATATGGCAAATACATACCCATTGCATATCTCATGGATCTCCCCACAACACAGGAATTTTTGCCTCTAACTCCTGCTGTGAGAGCACTTTGAACACACCAGCTGTTCTTGCAGAGCACAGACAGGTTCAGTCATGCTTCCCAGTGTCTTTTTAGGGCTTACAACTCACCTCCAACACATTCTTTATAAAGGACCCCCATGAGCTATAAAATTCACAGAATTTCTGCATATTACACCAAGTTAACCCCAAAACAGATGTAGCAAGAGCTCACCTATGACCTCCTCCCTCAATACAGGGCTAAAGAAGCCCCTTATCCTGTAACTCCTCAGTTACATACTCTGCTGTACAACACCAACAAAAATCACAAACTCATGTTCTAACTGCAGAATTTGAGATACAAGGTGAGGAAAATGGAGAATTCCCAGTATCCAGTAGAGCCTCACAAATCTAAACTCTGAAAATTCAGAAACAAGGACCTTCAGCCCAGCCTTAAACAGCCACAAGCAGCATGAGCTTCTCATTAGATGAAGTACAGCTGAGCTGGGAGTCAAAGCAATCTCCAGCAGTCTTTTGTTTAGAAGTACAACAGTCAGTTATACTGACTGGCTACAAGTGTCTCTTGCTTTGAACTCCTAAGAAAATAATTTTTAATATGAACCAGTTACCAGCCAATATGCTGGTCACATGGATTATTTCTGGAAGGCTACAGCACTCCACGAGTCAATTTTTTTCCAGCATTACAAAAAATAAACTCAGACTGCCAAAATTCTTTATCTCTGTATGTTTTGGCATTTCATCTGCAGGATCTCAGAGCACAGGACTTCCACTATCCTGTGATATGGTATGGTTTGGAATACCAAATTCAAGACTGGAATTGTACTCTGAATTCCAGCCCTTAGTCTGCAAAGATCTCAAAACTTTAAAGGACACTAGTTGGTTTCCACATGCTTTGAAAACCTAATCCCACAATTTAAAGACTTAATTGCCACCACTTGATTCTCATCTTAAATTGTAGAGTATTCAATCAGAGATATTGCTGGGCAATAAGTCCCCAATCACAAAGCCATTCCACACAGACTATGCAATGCATTCGTCAAAACTCAAATTCTCTTTAGACAGGATGGAAAATAAAGAGCAGTAGCATTTCTGCTTTTTATAGGCTGCTTGATATGATTTAATGGTTTGTTTTTTTCAAAGGAGAAGGAAAGAAGAATAGAGTATAATTTAGAATTCTTTAAACAGCTAAAAATAGCATACACTGGAAGAAAAAAAAACTTCAAAAAGAAAAATGCACTTAAGCATGGAATGCTTGTTTCTGGAGGTAAAAAGTATTTACATCTTGCACCTGCAGAACCCTATTCCAGTGAATCCTACATCACATCTTTTCATTAACTCCACTTCACTGGAACAGAGGGGTCATAACCACTTTAGGTATTTCAGAAACTAGAGAGGTATTTCAAGTAGGTGACACTGCTAATGGTTACCAAGAGACACCTGCCTTACAAGTAGTTTAATGACCTGGTGATTGCTGAAATAGAAAATACAGGTGCAAACCATTATTTCCAGAGCCTAGATGATTTGAAACAAAATTTGCCTTCATGCTAGGTTCTGAGTTCACCCTGGTAACAGAAGTCCTGTGCAGCCCTTGCTGCCGTGAACACCTGTAAAACACCTGCCTCAACCCCTGCTCCCCCAAACAGCAGCTAACGCACACAGAAACATACAGCCCTTTAATAGTGTGGACATCTTACTCAAAACATCAAATAGGCATTTCTCAAATATGTTGGCATAAAAAGAGACTGAAGACATGAACAGTGTGATTATTATCAGGTAAGCACTGGTCCCAACACTTAACTGAGCCCAACTTCTCACTTTGCTTTACTCCAGGAGTGGTTACAGAGAATAGTCCAATGTTCTGAACCAAAAAGCAAAAGAAACCAAATTTCCAGTTATTTTAGGCAGAAAGTAAAAGTATTAGGGGATGACTCTTTGCAAATCTTCCACTTCAAGGTTCCACATATCCTTATGGACAGGGTTTTCAGAGAGATCAGTCATCTTTATTGCTCGAAGAATGGGCTCAGGACTGCAGGACCGCACCACACCCATCACCATTACATACTTTCCTAAAAAACAAGTAAGCATTAAATTTAATTAACCTTTGTATTATCATTTTAATTCATAAGCCAGGTTACTTAAACCCAAGTAGACATTGTAAACTGAAAATGCCAATACTTCTAAGAAAATTCAAGGAATGAAGTTTGCTTAAAAGGCTTCATTATCTGTGCAGCCACCTTTACAGCATATTTAACTACATTTACACTTACAGTAAGAGCCAAACAAACACATCTGTCAGCTGTGTAAGTGGACTAAGGATAGGTCAGAAGGCAAAATTTTTATGCAATGCATCTATTTCGTACCACCATTTCTGCAATTCCGCAGACCAACACTTGTCCATTTGAACTGGCAGTTCTGGTGAAGGGAAGAGAAGGAAAGAAAGAAGAAAAAAACAGGAAAGAGAAACAGCAGAAGAATCTCTCTCCTTGTTCAGGGCCTACCGCGCGGGGCCTGGCCGGGCAGAGGGGATGTGCCGAACCACGTTAGGCTGGGCCCAGGCAGGAACGGGGCCCGCCGTCCACGGGGGTGCCCCCGCCCCGCGGTACCTGCGCTGAGGCACGGCCGGCCCTGCGGCACCTGCTCCACGCCCAGCACGGTGAAGGCGCCGCTGCCGTCCTGCAGCCGAGCCGAGCCGCCTTCGG